TGTCTTTGTTTAATACAAGGCTTATTTCCCTGCTTCCATTAAGTTGTCTTGAAATGATATCCATCTTTATCCCATACATTTTGGTAAGGATGCAATTCTATAAAATGTCTGACGAAATCTCTGGTGACTTGAAGTTGCAATAGAAACATTTGAAACGTGGCCCTAGAATGAAACAGTATATATACAGTAATTTTTAGAAATACTTAACTTGGTCTTCGCATACGTTTATGTGAAGAACCTCAATATCTTATGTGATAGTAATGAAGCTTTCCTCGTGATCGAAGCGGGTACTCGTGAATTCTGCTCCTGGTTTCAGCGGGACCTCCTCATGTTTTCAGCGGGGCTTCCTCATAATTTCAGCGGGGCCACTGGAACACCTTCAACGATGTATTTCACCCCCCACAGTGGATGTTTTTTTAAACTAACTTATCAATACATACAATGTTGATCCAATATTCATAATGAGGTATGTATATCGTAGTTCTTATCTCTATTTTAACGATAAAAGTAATATGTTAACAGTAAATTATGCAAACGTGCATATTAACGCCCGTTTCTTCCATGTCAATAAAAATAGTTATCTAACATGTCATTGTTTGTGTAGATATACCTGTTCTGAAAGTATACCTAAGGTATCAAGGAACAGTAATGCGTATTCTTACCTTTTTGGTACATATTTCCAGATAAATTAAATAAAAAGTACTTTGCTCGTGATTTCAGCGGGAACTTGCTCGCGACTTTTGAATCATGACGGGGCTTTGGATACTACCCGTGAAATAGAGCCACCACAATATTTCAACCTTTGTAACCCTTGCAAAAAGATTTTCTTGCAATAAAAATGTAAAAATAGCTTAGGGTACTTGTAAGCCAATTTGATTTTAAGGTAGACATGTCTCGATATTTTTCAATAATTTTCATGATTATAAATACCGATAATCAATGAAAGGGACAATATTTTCACATTTGTAATTGTATGTGTATGCATGGTCCATGTGTATGTTACCATAATTCTTTATATCCACTTAAAATGTAAAAAATTTTGCCCAATTTATAAATATCAGATAATTTATTCATCACCAAAATTAGTAAAAATTATCAACATGCAGAACTACCTTAAAGAGTTTAATCTCTCACTCAGTCACAATCATGTCAACCAAAACTGTACTCGTGTTACATAATATAGGATTATACAGCTTACCATACGTGTGCAATCTATATAGCATCCACACTGACATCTTTACAGAATCATATATAATTTTTGAATATAAACTCAACCCAATAAGGCGAGTACTAAAGAATTTACTTACCTGCCATCTAAAAATCTGCTTGGAACTACCATTGGATTACCATTGGATTCCTCCAAGAGAATATTCTAGGGCGCATTCAGCTTACATAATTTGAGAAATTAATGGCATACGTAAAACCTATTTAAAACAGCATTTATCATATTCAAAAGCGTTGAGCATCAATGATTCCCAGCCCTCTGAAGTTTGAAAAATAAAAATACCTGGGTGTTAATCCATGGATTATCTTTGAAAACGAGAAATATATTTTTGGATTACATGGTGTAATCTTAAAGTAAACAAAATGTTTTAAAGTGTATTGATGTTTTTTGGATGAAAAACATAAGCGAAATTCATGAAAAAAATCCCCCGATTCATTCTACAAACAACTCGCCCTCCTTTGATGACAAGATTGTTTATGTGCCGCCCGCCCGCACGCCAGCAAGCCCGTACGCCCGTACGCCCGCTCAACAGCACAAGACGACGACAATATAGCACTTTTTCAAAGTGCGATAAAAATGTGTAATAAGTGTCAATTGATGAACAGATTCATTACACACATAAATATGCCTACAACATAGAAGGAAGACAATGATAACACTTCCAAAATTAATTTCAAAATCATATCTTTTTAAAATGCAATGTATGCATAAATCCGAACAGTTAAAACAAGGTTTTTGGTCAGTTTTTACAAAAATTAGCAACCCTTTTGAGTTGAGGTCATTTTAGAAATTCCCAAATCATGTGGAAACCTTCCATTTTTATGGAGCATTATGTCTGTCATTTTAAATTGAGGGTCAATTTGAATCAACACCCAATTTTTAACAAGGCATTAAAATGTCACCACCTAGTTGCTCACAATATTATTGTAGATGATTTTGAAAAAAATGGTCAATTTGAAGCAAGTTGAAAAAAGACATTTTTTGACCCTGAAAAGGTCAATAAAGGTGGAATCTAAAATCTAAAGTCAGATTTGAACTTCTGAGAACTAGTAGAAGATTTTGACAAAAATGTTCAATTTGTAGCAAGTTGAAAAATACCTTTTTGACCTTGAGAAGGTCATTGAAGGTCAAATCTATAGTCAGATTTGAACTTTTGAGAACTTCTAGTTGATTTTGAAAATAATTGATCAATTTGAAGCAAGTTGAAAAATACCTTTTTGACTTTTTCGACCTTGAGAAGGCCAATGAAGATCAGATTTGAACTTCTGATAACTTGTAGATGATTTTGAAAAAAAATTGTCAAATTGTCAATTTGGAGCAAGTTGAAAAAAGGTGATCACTGACCACCAGCAGCCGTAAAAGAAAACGGAGACCATAACAAGGTGGTCACATAAAAACCTTCAAAAGAGGAACTTTTAAATTATTTTTCTCTTTTCTTACATACCAGGGGTTTCTTCTACACATCTGAATGTGTTGAAATTCAAACTATGAAAAAATTTAATTTTGGTTACCCTTTGGGAAAATGACATGGGCTATGTGATTTTCAACTTTATCAGTTCCCATACCCAGTGCTTTCAGTAGGTTTGTCTAAGAGTGCGTCCCTGAGATGGATTGATTTTCAAAAAGTGAGTTCCATGAAAAAAGGTTCCGGGAATTCAAAGTCACATTTTTACACTGAACGAAAAAATTGATGAAAAGTTTCTAACCATATTTGTTATTTATCGGCCTAAATCAGCATTCTACAAATGTCTAGAAGGTCACTAAATGATACAGGTACCTTCACTTGAAAGAGATAACTTATATTCAACCATTAAATACACTTTTCCTTTCATATTTCGAAGCAATTTGCACTTGGGGCAATCTCCACGAGGTTCCATTTATTAGTTCTGTTTCATGCGCATGCGCAACAAATCCAGTAATTTGATTAGTTAAAATCATTAAGACGCATGCGCGATTATTTATCGTGGTCAATCATAGGACTTGTACAGATTACCGCTCGGTACTGTAGCAACTGCTTAGTGATTGCCCTATCACAGGCCTCGTACTATTTCGATCGTAAATCAACTTCCGGAAAAGAAACGTTGAAAGAAAATATCGTATTTCTTTTAGAAACACAATATCCTTAGTTTATTAAGCGGATTTTGACCAAATAAAAGACTAAAGATAAGATATTTTTCCGAGTCTATTAATTTTGTTAATAAAAACACAGGACTTTGCGTCCAAGGGACAGATCATTTTATTTTTTTGGTGTCCCTTCATCAAAATCCGAGTCCTCCTAATGTTAAGGTCTCATGGAAGTTAACAGGAAATGACAAAACAAAAAATGACAAAGCCATGCTGGATTTTGAAAATTTTTTGAACCAAGATAACAGAGTTCTGTTTGGACCTCCAGTCAGTTTAACTAGTTCCACATATCATTTACATGACCAGGAACACAATTGAAATGGTCAGAATGACCATAAACATGATAAAATAACCTTTTTAGCCCTCTGAAGATGTGGCTGAAAAATAGCTAAAAGTAGGTGCTCAGGAAAGGTCAATGAACAGAATCTTTTGATTTTTTCAGAATATGTGTCCAATATATTGCTCTAAATGACACAATCTTTGAAATTTTAAAAAATCGTCTGAAACAATAATGGCTGTAGTAAAAAGGAAAATAGATCGATTTTCAATTCAGTTTTTTTCAATTTTTTCTTTTTCTAAGAATGATATCAAATTTTTTTGAATTGTATCATTTAGAGCAATATATTGGGCACATTTTCTGAAAAAGTCAAAATATTCTGTTCAGTGACCTTTCCTGAGCACCTACTCTTAGCTATTTTTTAGTCACATTTTCAGAGGGCTGAAAAGGTTATTCTATCATATTTATGGTCATTCTGACCATTTAAACTGTGTTCCTGGTCATGTAAATGATATGTGGAACTAGTTAAACTGACTGGAGGTCCAAACAGAACTCTGTTATCTTGGTTCAAAAAATTTTCAAAATCCAGCATGGCTTTGTCATTTTTTGTTTTGTCACTTCCTGTTAACTTCCATGAGACCTTAAGGATGCGTACTAAAAGCCCTGCATACCATACTTTAATATGTGTTTCTTTCTTAATACATAGCTCAATATTTCCTAGAACTAGCAATTGTACTCTTCCTGTGGTATTTAATAAATGAAATAAATCATATAAGATTATGCCAATTATGGGAACTGTATGAGGATATCCAAATGAGCATATACATCATATTTATTTGTTTCCCAGTTTGGCTTACATAATTTATACTTTGAGACACTTTGTAACATCAATAATAAATGTAACTAACAAAATACCATTTTTTAAATATCTTAGCTTGTGATAAGACATACACCCACTAGGGTGTCATTATCACTGATATGTATATATGTTTATATGATTTTAATAAATAAAAAAATTTTAAAAAGGGACATACAAAAAGGTAAGTAAACAAGGCATTTGTTACAGATGCCAACCACTGAACACCAAATACCAGCCGTCGTCCACAAAAATTGGACAACACTTGTGGTGGTGACATAACAATAGAAAGTGAGCAAAGCAAAGTAAAGTATACAAAGTTCTCCCAAGGTTTTTTTCTCACGTGTCAAGTGTAAAAATTCTCATAATTTCTCGCCAATAAAGTTGGTAAAAATTTGACAAATTCTCATAATTTCTCACATTTCCAAAACAGTATGTATGTTTTCAAAATCTGAAGTGGGTGCAGCATCCATTTGCTTTATACTTGGGAGAACACTGGATATATGTCCATGCCTTACCTTGATACCAATGGATGTTGTGAAGCCTTTGCAGACAGAAGGTATAAGAACTATTACAAGCAGAGTTCCCAATCCTATTGCTCCCCAAGGAATCATCATACACTCAATACACCTGCTACCAACACGGTGGAACCCTAAATAATAACATAGTTGGTATAAACATCATTGTTGTATCTAGACAAGCACCACAAATATAAAAGTTGATCAGGCAGGAAAATTCTTAAATATTATAAATATAACAGAATTTTTTGTTTTTCCGTAAAAAATACCAAACTCCCGTACCGTTTTCTCCCGTAAAAACTCCCGTACCGTATTTCTACTAAAATCTCCTGTAATTTTTTTTAAAAATATGGCCGTAAAATCTCCCGTATTTTTGCTGAAATCTCCCGTAAAATCTCCGTATTCTGGTATAACTCCTGTAAAATCTCCCGTATTCTTGGTATAACTCCCGTAAAATCTCCCGTTTTCTGGTATAACTCCCGTAAAATCTCCCGTATTCAGATTCAAAATCTAGAGTAAAAATTCTAGTTTTTTCAGAAATCTACCGTAGAAACTAGTTTTTTCAAAATCGACCGTAAAAACTCCCGTTTTTCCGAAATCTACTGTAAAAACTCCCGTTCTTTCAAAATCTACCTTAAAAACTCCTGTTTTTTCAAAATCTAAAATAAAAACTCCCGTTTTTTCAGAAATCTACCGTAAAAACTCCCGTTTTTTCAAAATCTACCGTAAAAACTCCAGTTTTTTCAGAAATCTACCTTAAAAACTCCTATTTTTCAGAAATCTACCGTAAAAACTCCAGTTTTTTCAGAATTTACTGTAAAAACTCTCGTTTTTTTCAGAAATCTACCGTAAAAACTCCCGTTTTTTCAGAATCTACCGTAAAAACTCCCGTTTTTTCAGAATCTACCGTAAAAACTCCCGTTTTTCAGAATCTACCGCAAAAACTCCCGTTTTTTCTGAAATCTTCCATAAAAAAGTCATGTTTTTTAAAATTTACCGCGAAAAATACCTTTTTTAAAAAATCTCCCGTAAAAACTCCTGTTATTTCAAAATCTCCCGTAAAAACTCCCGTACTTTCAAAATTTACCGCAAAAACTCCAGTTTCAAAATCTACCGTAAAAACTCCAGTTTTTTTCAAAATCTAGAGTAAAAACTCCTGTTTTTCAGAAATCTACCGTAAAAACTAGTTTTTTCAAAATCGACCATAAAAACTCCAGTTTTTCCGAAATCTACCGTAAAAACTCCAGTTCTTTCAAAATCTACCTTAAAAACTCCCGTTTTTTCAAAATCTAAAGTAAAAACTCCCGTTTTTTCAGAAATCTACCGTAAAAACTCTCGTTTTTTCAAAATCTACCGTAAAAACTTCCGTTTTTTCAGAAATCTACCTTAAAAACTCCTATTTTCAGAAATCTACCGTAAAAACTCCAGTTTTTTCAGAATTTACCGTAAAAACTCTCGTTTTTTCAGAAATCTACCGTAAAAATTCCCGTTTTTCAGAATCTACCGCAAAAACTCACGTTTTTTCTGAAATCTTCCGTAAAAAAGTCATGTTTTTTAAAATTTACCGCGAAAAATACCTTTTTTAAAAAATCTCCCGTAAAAACTCCTGTTATTTCAAAATCTCCCGTAAAAACTCCCGTACTTTCAAAATTTACCGCAAAAACTCCCGTTTTTTTAAATCTCCCGTAAAAACTACCGTTTTTTCAAAAATCTCCTGTAAAAACTCCCGCAAAAACTACCGGATTTTGAAAAAAACTCCCATTAAAGTACCGCAATTTTTTTTAAATCTCCCGAAAATTTTTCATTTTAGGTTGGCAAGTCTGTATAATGCAAAGTCTGCTTCACTTTCACCCTATGGAGACTATGTGTACATAAGACACTTGCTGCAGATAACATGATTGATGCAGAATGTATTAAACCTCCAACACATAGTTTTTGAAATTGAAGTTTTTATATTATATTATCATTCTCAGCCTTCATACAGTATTGATGGAGCTACCCCTTAACACATACAGCAAATAACACTGAACAAACTTGGAACTACGTGTAAAATAAGTTGATATGAGGTATTAGCAATATCATATCCCAATCCTAGGATTATGTATCGATATATGGGTTTGACATATGTAGGAAAAAGGTTTAAAGGCCCCATGTAAAGTTTGAAAATATAGTTTAACCTTTCAAATATTACTTTCCAAAACTAAAATTTTAAAGCATTTTAAAAAGTGTGTGATGTCAGGATAATATGCTGTGATGTCAATCAGGTGGCAAAAAATGTTTTCAAAAAATTGTTAATCTTTTTTCTTGTGCAAATAATTTCTAATAATGCTGAACTTTCAAAATAAAGCAATATTGCCTGTGGGTTACATTATTGCATGCAATAATCTGCAGCTGCCCAGGCTTGTACTTTTAAGAACAAGGCACAGGGTGAACAATATTGTACCAGTGTGTGCAAGATGGCCGCCGAAAAGTTAATCAGCTCTGGAACTTCTTACAATGTAACATGTGTGAAAATCCGTCATGTGGTTTTCCCTGAATCGTGATAACAAGAAAAGTGAGACGATGCCCGTCAAGCTGACGACAATATTGTACCTTTTTTTAGGTATGATAAAAACTATGACTAAATAAGCGCACGGCAAATGGCCGATATATAAAATTCTTGTTTAGTAACTTACCATTATGTTCAAGTGGATCTCCATATTCATCGAGGGTGACTTCATGTTTCTCTAGACAACGTTCACACATTGCACCTGTGCTAGGTTTTCTACATGTGTTGTTAAGGATGCAGTCATTAGGAAACATACATGTGTTACACAGATGAACATGTGTATCTGAAATGATATTATTCAAAGGTTATCATAAATGGTTGGTATATAGATTCCTTTAAACTATTACTTTTTTTTAAAAACAGGTCAATCACTAGCCTTGCCCGAGTCGGTATTTTTTGCTTTTCTGATCTTGAATTATTACTGCCTTGTACAATCTAATACATCTCCGCTGATATTATAAGTTAATCAGCAGTTTCGAGATTTCCATAATTCCTACACTGGCAGGGGTATCGCGAAACCGCATTGATTGACAGATCGCACGACTTGTGACATCAGGCTGATTGACCAATGAAAACATTTTCAGGTTTACCCTCATAAGCAAAGCAAACTACCCGTCTACGACTTGAAATTCAATGATCTGATCGAGTATTTTTTCAGTCTTCACAGTTACAATAGAAAATGGTTGACAAAGAAACTCACCTCCATGTATGTCTGTAAAGTTAGAATTGGGGTCACATTTTATTCCAATAGATAGTTTTTCATGGCCATCAGCTGCATGAAGAAAACAGATGACTGCTACCGTCCCTAGTATCCAGGATTGCAACATTATAGTCTAACAACCTAGAAAATATACAATAGAAAATTGTTTTGGCTTATATTACAAGCCAATGACGTGTGCATTAATGATTAACTTTCCTGTTATCTCAAAATCTGCTTGGAACTATACTATTGGATTACTATGGGAAATTCCTCAAAGAGAAAATTCTTGGGATTAAGGAAGGGGGACTAGAGGGCTCCCCAAGAGGGGGCAGTGAGGTCGCATTAGTCACTTTTAAATTTTCAAAATTGTATGTCACATTTAAAATTTACTTATCATATTTTGTCAGTTTTATTCCTTTTTAGTCAGTCAAAGAATTTAATGCAACAAATGGTTTGTTATGTTCCATTTTTTGATTACATTTACTTGCATATATTTACATTCAGAACAAATTTTCTATTTTTGCATGGGGTTTCAACCTTTATTGAAAGCCCATGATTTTTGTCAATTCTCAAAACACTTGTCAGTCAGATGAGTGTTCAAAATTGTCACATGAACAGTGGGAGACTTAAATAAACCTCAACCATCAAAAGTTATCACAATGAGCTAAATTCTAAGTTTCATGTCTCAAACTCGCCCAAGCGGTAGAAAAATAATTCCCGTTCACTTTAAGTAGCACAATAAATGAATCCAAAGCTTCATACCTGCAAATGATGGATAAATTCCTACCAAATCAAACACGTGATTTCATGGATCTCCATGTTTGTGATCCAAGGAGGATTGACTCCCAGAATGCAACATCAGTTCACCTTATTTACTCGTGACAGGTTTCAAAATGGCAGAACGGCATTTTGAAAGCTGTCACGTGTCATGTTGTATTCTGGGAGCCAATCCTCCTTGCGGCGTAATCGGGCTCCAAAATCACCTCAACATTTGAAGAGTCGCCATTAACATGTGAATATCACTTCAAATTTTTAAGTTCTTATTTGTCATTATGGACCCAAATTCCACTATATTTGTACGTTTCGGGACGGAGAAAATAGAGCACTCAATTCACTGAGGTAAGAATTTATGACATGTGTGACAGAATGTCTTTTTCAAAGTGTTAGTAATTATTTATGTTCACCACTTTAAGGATATATTTGTCACATTTGTTCGTTTCTAAATACCCCAAAGTCACATTTATAGGGGCCAGGTCGCCTTATCACATCCCCCTTGAGGAGCCCCAACAAGGCTAGAGCATGATCTTATGATGATGAACTCTCACTGACTCACTCCAGGAGGGGGGGTACTGCCATATATTGGCTATATGGGGATGTGCCGGTAAAGTGGGTCACGTTTTGGCCAAAAAATCCCTAGATGTGGGTCCCATTTAGAAGAAAAAAACTAGATCTGGGTATGGGTCCCATTTTGATGAAAAAATCCCTAGAACACGATGGGTCCTAAAACTGGGTCCTGTTTGAAAAAAATCGCCGGAAGTGGGTCTTGTTTTTTAAAAATTAGTCTACCTTGAAGTGGGTCTTTTTTTGAAAGAAAACCCCTAGATGTGGGTCAATTTTTTGAGAAAAAATTCCTAGATCAGATGTGGGTAGATATTTTCAGTCCTGGCGGCACCCTAGACTGTATCCTTCGTCTGAATAAATATTCAGACTGTAAGTCACCTATTGTAAAATGTGGTGTTGTATAAATGTTACAAATAAGTTTGTTTAATGATAAAATGATTACCTTATAAAGAACTTACAGTGCTGATATATAATAATTAAGGGTGCGTTTTCAAACTAAACAGAGTGCTCCTATCAAAATGAATTTGCCTACATACCCCTGGGACTCTAATCTGATAGATAGAATGCACAAATAAAACAAAAGTTTTGCTATTATAGGTAAAAAGTTCTCTTGAAATTTCGGAGTGATTTTACCTGTTAATTCTGTCCATGGTCCGCCATTTTTGCGGAAGTTACACTGAAACGCAAACTCCATGAAACGAAACGAAATCACTAGAAAAAACATGGCACACATTGTGCGCATGTGCAGCAAAGTTTAGACCAATCAGATTATTTGATTATTTTGCGCACATGAATTATTTGCTTCTGAGCACTTACAAGCTTACCACAATAAACAAACCTGGCAGAGACTACCCTTAGCCTACTCCATTTTGGCGAAATTTCAGCTCAAACTCGTGACAAATGCATTATACATACGCTGGTGTGAAGCCTTGGAGACACTCATTTTGGTAAATATGATTTATGGGGTATACTTTTCTGCAGTTTGTGGGAGTTTGGAACATTAAATGTTAAAATTCAAGAAAATATGCCAATTAAACGACTGATCAATTAATATATACCAGCACTGTACATTATTATTTTTTCGTATATTGTCCTCTTACTGAAGATATTCATAAAATGTACAGACGCTTTTTGTAGCGAAGCCATTGATTAGGTCAAGCCATTTTGGCAATGCCAATTCTCACGATAAACGAGATTTAGCCAGTGACGTCAGTCTATTTGTAAACAATAACACGTGGAGCGGACGGAGCAACATTACGGAAGCGTATTGATAAATTCCATTTCTGCGGGAATTTATTAGATCTAGTCATTTATTATCATTATCCCGATTAATTTTCTTCATTTATAGTAAATAGAGCGGAAATATTCATGAAGAAGGCCGAGGTAATCAAGTGGTCATGTGTTGTCAAAGTTCAAAAAATTTCCATATCTCGTTTGGATCTCGTGAACTCAAACGTCCTTGACATTGATTTCGCGATCTACTTATGAACACATCCTGAAGTTTTGGTGAGTCTGAACATTTCATTATTTTATATCAACTTGTACCCGCCTTATACAAATATTTTTGCTTCTAGTTTAAGATGAACATCTCTTCAACATATTCACCAATTTTCAAGGTGAACATTCTTGTAATAAACGAGAAATTAATGTGCAAAAAATATCACCGCGATTTCCACAGGAAATATATCAATCATAACAGACCGAATATTATATTCGGTCTGTTGGATACATACTAGGCGGCACCCCCCTGAACGGACCTCTGCCAGATTACCTCTTCTTCAGTGGTGTCTAGGCTCAATAAATATACCCATTTATCCTTTGAGCCTAAGCTTACTACCAATAATGGGAGCTGGATCTGGCTCCGGATCTGTGCCCGCCCGTGTACAAAAAATTGACCAGTACCCCCCCCCCCCCCCCGGGACTCACTAAAACTGTGAACACTTACTTTTTCTATGGGATATAAAGTTCAAGTAGAAACAGATACTTACAATTTCTAACCTATGTAAGGACTCTATAAAAGATCACCGTAAAGGAGAAATTGATAAAAACAGCAAAATAGTGCTTTTCAATTTTGTGTATGGCCTCGTTCTGAACTATCAGTAAGGCGGATGAATCTAAAAATAGTTCCTTTCTTTCCTTAATTATTTTCATTCACATCGTTGGCCATGACAACATTTTTTAAAAACATCAATCAAATTAATTTGATTTACCTTATTTGGGAACATATCTGAACAATCTTTGCGCAGGAATAGTAAAACAACATCTTGAAACTATATTCAATAGCCCAAGAACATTTGTTTACATCCGGTGTTCTTTGGCACTAAAAAGTCATGAAATATGCGAATAACTGCACAGGTTTGATACGTTATTTTCTGAGTATATTGGATTTTATCATATTTAGCAATTCCTTCATATATTGTTTTAATTTTAGGTGATTCGCTCTCGAGCCAAAAAGGCACTACATTCAGTAGAGTATCTCGATATAAGCAATCTTGAAATTGGTAAGTTTCCTCATTTATCATTTCTTGTTCATAAGCAATTTTAGCAGGGCCTAAATAAGGCTAATGGAATATAAGTTATAACAAGACTGAGACCTCTCTAAGGATAATAAACGCTTTAATCAGAAAATCAATGTAATCCAGAAAGTAAGTACAGTTTCTGGTGCCTGTCATCATCATCATCATTTAGAAGATACATGTACATGATTCGATCAATTTTACTGATCACTAGCCTATATCGCAGTCTAGTACAAAAAAGTTAAAAAATGAACATCAACAACAAGTTCATGAACTTAAAACAGTGTTAGGTAATAAAAAGCTAAAACAATCAGTTAAAAGACAATATAAGATTAAGGCATTAGTGAGCCTTACTAAATGTATATTTGCACATAGCCATCATTTAGATTGATCATCAATCAGGAAGAAGCTAGTGCCTATAATGATTGAATCCAGGAGAGCCGGGGCAAAAGCTGTCCTCAATGGTGACAAGTTGTACATAAATAATGTCTTGTACACTGGTCCACTAACACCACCAAGTGCAAATATGCAAATTGCACCAAGTGCAAGTTCATCATTTACACCACCAGGTGCAAACAAGTCAGTTGCACCAAGTGCAAGTTCACCTACTATACAGGGTCCTAGTGCACTCACATTAACTGATCAACTCTAGTAATGTTCATTCTATTTGTATGACTCTAACTAGGATGTAAACTTTGACTACAAATGGTACATCCCAAACATTTTTCTGCAACCAGAAACTTTTTGGCAATTGTCCATTGCCTATGATTATAAGGTGGACAATCCTAACACTGAGTTATTTTTACATTGCAACCTAGTATATTCACTCCATGCTATATTATTACAATATTGCAATATTGACATTGAGTTGAGTGGTTTTTGTTTTGTTTTTTTTGTGAAAATGAATCACAGTGAATTTGCTTGGAGAACCCTTAAAACTTGATAATAAAGTGTCTTTACAAGGACCTTACAATTAAATTGTCTGTGATATTGTTATAGGAAAGACTGTATTTTTCTCATTTCTACATGAATTCAAATTATTGTTCATATTGTAAATTTGTTATGATAAACAGGAATTTGATGGATGTTCAGAGTTTGTTTTTTTCTTTCTTTGAGTGAATTTGGTAAACAGACAAATTGGTTGTTAGGGCCTTATATGGAAGTGTGATCTGAATATTGGGCTTTATTAATGACCCTTGCCTAAAATGTAAGGTATCAAATAGTCATGTTTCTTTCAAAATAATGATTTTGGGAGAGGGAAATTAAATTTTGTATATAATCACTTTTCTATCATCAAATTATTCGTGCATGGTTTGATATCAGTAATGAAATATTTACTAATGAACTATATTTAAACCTGTCACATATTACATATTATATTATAGCAATTAGAATTTGAAAATTTCTCAGGAGCTAGAAATTCACTATTGCCTATGATCACTTATACACTTTTGGTTCTACGTGGTGGTGAGTTGTGGATGAACTTTGTGTATATATCCTCTTATGGTTGAGTCAAATGCTGATGTATGGAAGGAATTGCCATTTTTTGATGTAATTGATGAAAATCAATTTCTTGAAATTGTCCCCCATGGAAATTTGATGGAAATGTTTGAAAATAGAATCTTCAATCCAACATTAGAAAACTTAACAATTGCTGAAGAAGCAAATACTTTATTCAATGACAATGTGAATGAAGGGATTTTAAATTGCAATTATAGAACATTAAATCAACTTGAATCAATATTAAATACAAATGCAAATCATGATTTCTCTATAATTCACTTCAACACTCGTAGCCTTCCCAGTAAAGTAAATGATATTAGATTATTTCTTGCTCAAATGGCTAAAAATTTACCGAAAGTGATTGTCTTGTCTGAAACATGGCTGCAAGATGGTACAGAAAGTACATACAATCCACTATTTTCAAATTACAATGCTTTTTATCGTTCTAGGAAAGACAAACAAGGTGGTGGTGTAGCTATTTTTACCTTAAAAAATATTAATGTCAAGTCCAGATCAGATCTAAAGTTTGATGATGTTAATTGTGATTCCCTATCAGTAGAAATATTAAATAATTCTTCAAAAAACATTTTAATTACTGCCATTTATAAACCACCACAAATAGACATAAATGAATTCAATATCAACTTAAAGGCTTTCATGACTAAAGTAGACGAGTCTAAGAAGTTATCAGTTTTGGCTGGGGATTTCAACATTGACCTTTTTAAGCATGAATTACATGACCCCACTAAAGACTTCTTGAACTTGCTTTATTCATTTAACCACCATCCCCTTATTTACCGTCCAACTAGAGTAACATCCCACTCTGCTACACTAATTGATAATATTTTTACTAATATAAATAACATAAAGCATGGTGATGTAATAATTATGGACATATCTGATCATTTTCCTCTATTTGCATTAACTAGTACTGTATTGAGGAAGTCCACAAGCAAAGAAATTTCATATAGAATTTTTGATAAGCGGAGTATTGGAAATTTCAAACAAAAGTTGAGTGTTTTAAACTGGGATATTTTGCAAACTACCGATGATGTAAATGATTGCTTCGAAATATTTTCAGATATTTTTCAAAACATATACAATGAATCTTTTCCTCTTAAATTAAAGAAAGTGAAACTTTTTGTTGATACTTCTAAGCCATGGATTACAAATGGGATTATCACATCAGCCAAGCAAAAAAATAATCTTTATCGTAAATTTATGAAGACCCCTAGTGAAGAAAATGAAAGAAACTATAAAATATATAAAGCAAGGTTCAGAGCTATTTTGAGAGCTGTAGAAAAAACCCACTATCGGAATCAATTTGAAACTGCATCTGGAAATATTAAACAAACCTGGAATATTATCTCTGACATTTTAAATAGAAAAAAACTTCATACAGTGGTTCAAAACGAATTTCTGGTCGATGGTATTGCAGTAAATGATAAAAAGTTGATTGCCAATAAATTCAACTCATTTTTTTCTTCAATTGGATTAAAATTAAGTTCTAAAATTCCAGAGTCAAACAGAACACCAAATGAATATATTAGTAATATGGGACATTTTGAAAATAGATTTCACTTAACACCAGTTGATGAAACAGAATTGTCATTATTAATACAAACTTTGAAAGATAAGGCAGCATCTCTTGATAATATTAAACCGATTATTGTAAAACATGCTAAAAATGAACTTATACAGCCTTTACTTTTGATATTCAATAAATCCTTTCAACAGGGAATTTTCCCGGATAAACTCAAAATAGCTAAGGTAACACCAATTTTCAAAAAAGGACAAAAAGACAATTTCTCAAACTATAGACCAATTTCAGTCTTGCCAGTTTTTTCTAAACTTCTAGAAAAACTTATTAACTTCAGGCTCTGTAATTTTATCACAGAAAATGAAATATTATATATTCATCAGTATGGCTTTCAGAAAAATGTCTCTACCTTTATGGCAATCTTAACTTTTGTTGAAAACATACGACATGCGCTGGAGAACAATGAATATTCACTTGGTATTTTTTTAGACTTGTCTAAAGCCTTTGACACTATTAATCATAAAATCCTTCTAGATAAATTAAATTTTTATGGAATTCAAGGGTCTGAACTATCTCTTTTTAAATCATATCTAAAAGATCGAACGCAAATTGTATCATATAACAATATTGACTCTGATCTACAAAGTATATCATGCGGTGTGCCACAGGGCTCAGTCCTTGGGCCGACATTATTCATATTATATGTAAATGACATGTTTAAGGTTTCCAATATTCTAAAAAGCGTAATATTTGCTGACGACACTAATTTGTTGGCCTCAGATAAATATTTGAAATCTCTAATAGAAAAGGTTAATAATGAACTTGATCTTATGGACGATTGGTTCAAAGCAAATAAATTGTCAATAAACTATTCTAAAACAAAATTTATCTTGTTCAATAAACAGAAACGACAAATCTTTAGAGATATTAAAATTGATATGTCCGGGAAACAAATTGAAAGAGTAAAATCTATCAACTTTTTAGGTGTCATTGTTGATGAACATATTACCTGGAAAGAACATATTAAACATATAGAAGCAAAAATATCCAGAACAATTGGTCTCTTATATAAGATTCGCCACCTATTGAATAAAACAAGTCTTTTGGCAATCTATAATTCCCTGATATACTCACATATAAATTACTGTAATTTAATATGGGGTGGCCATAGCAATGCTCATACAAATGAGCTGCATTCCCTACTTCTATTTCAAAAGAGATTCCTTCGAATATTAGACAACCAGCCAAGAATGGCACATTCAGCACCTCTCTTTAAAAAGTACAACATTTTACCTGTAAACCAGGTGTATGAATTTAATGTTTCGAATTTTGTCTATTGTTGTATTTACCAGGAACCTGTTTATTCGAAACTATATAATGATTATTTTAATCAAAATGAATATTTTCACAATTATCCTACCAGAAGAAGTCATGATTTACATGCTAGGGCTTACAAAACAAAAATAGGGTTATATTCAATCAAAGTACAGGGTCCAAGAATCTGGAATTCTATCTCAGATCATGTCAGATTTTTGCCTTCTTTACTTCAATTTAAAATGACTAGAAAGAAAAACTTAATTGCTGAAATATAATTATATATTGTCACCTCATCTACCTTTCCATCCATACATTTTTCCTAAACCGAAATAGAGTTAACACAATTGGCAGCCACAACCCACCACCACTAGCCATAAGTTAGATGCATACATATGCTATCAATATGTATAGTTATTATTGAATTTTTCATTTTTGTCACTAAAACAACTTCATACACTTGTTAAAGTGTCAGTTGATGTATAATTTATGTATCATAGTTTGACAATAAAGTATGTAACTAACTAAAAAGATGGCTATGTGCAAATATAGTAAAGTGAGCCCTTTGACTATACTTGAACTGGTCTAAGCTCTCTGACAATACACTGCTGTCAGGGAGTATATTCCACTCAGGTATTGTGCATGGGAAAAGGAATGGAGCATTGCATCTCAGGGGCGTAGCCAGCTTTCAGTCAGGGGGGGTGCGATCGCCGAAAATTTTTCAGTTTTCGGTCAGGGGGGGGGTGCGATTTTGCCATAAGCAACACAAAAATTTCAGATTTCTTTTGAATTTTACAAAAATTGATGCAACTTCCTTCAAAATTGAGCTAGAAGCTTCAAATAAAAAGCATTTTAAAGCTCTTTTCTACCTCTATCCAATGGTCATATTTTCAAAGGTTATGGGGGGGGTGCGATCGCACCCCCCCCTGGCTACGCCCATGCATCTTACTAGAGTGAAGTAGGCCATCTGCTTTGTATGGCGTGGGGCCTTCCACAGGTGTCTTCTCAGCATGCCAAGAAGCTGGTTGCTCTTAGATATGGACTTGTCTATGTGCTGTCTCCATTTGAGGTTGTCTTGTAAGGTAACACCAAGGTAGCTAGCAAATGGTATATGCTCCAATGTGTGTCCATTCATTTCATAGATTTTGGGATTCAACTTGGCAGTCCATTTGTCAGGATGAAACTTCATCAGCCAAGTTTTCTCCCATTCTACAGCTGCTTTTAGGTCTTCTTGCAGTAGAGTGGCATCTTGTGGTGTCTTTAGTTCTCTGTAAATGATGCTCTCATCAGCAAATAATCGGAGGGTTGTATGCTGTAGAGCATCTGGGAGGTTGTTGATATCATGGGCTATATCTCATAGGCACACAATTTAACTTTTAATGTTACTTTATCGACATGAATAAGCTAAAATGTTTTACTCCTGCCCTGCTTGCTGATATACTGATGAGTGCATACACGATACCCGTCAGCTGGTACTCATTATCCCACTTTGATTTCCAGTTTTATTTTTGACCTGGTAGATCTAGGTATCTGTCATTTCAATTTGGAGGCTTGTTTTCTCATTTGTATTATCTCAACTATCTAACAAGGGTCATCACTTTATTAACCAAATCAAAATATAAATATACAATTATTTTGACAAGGTTTACACTGTCAAGAAACACATTTGAAAAGAGAATTTCCTATAAAAATTGTATGTAATATTAGAATTCGGAGAAAGGTAAAAGGTAGAAAAGTTTAAACATTGTTTATAAATGTCATAATCATGAGTTCAGCTTATGTTACACAAATACTCTTCACTAGAACTAATTTATAAGTATACTGTAGTAAGTAATGCCTCAACAATGTCTGCTACTGCTCTAAGATATCCAAGCTTTCATTTATGTACTCATAGCTGCCATTGAAAAGCTGAAAGCATGTCCAAAATTACAAAGCCTGTGGCTAAAGGGAAACAACATAGATTGTGTGGAGCGATTAGATTCCTGCCCACACCTTTGGTACCTGGACTTGTCACATAACAAGGTAATGATTTACACTGACTACAGGAGTATGTCCCCATGTTTTGTCAAAAATTTTTAGTTCTTATCGTCTCCCTCTGTTGTGTAAATATTACTAAAATGAAGCATCATCTTGAAGAGTGTGTGATTATAGATTTGTAAACTTTCCAAACTGTACGTGTAATCTGTATTCAATTAACAAAACTGCAAATAAGTTGCCTTGTTGCATTTATTTAATTGCTAAAAGTATGTAGTTAATTTTAGGTGAGGAATCTAGAAGGATTATCCAAGTTTGTTGCCCTTGGAACCTTGATATTATCAAACAATGAAATTCCTTGGCGAGAACTGGCACATTTACGCCATATGCATATTTTACATCTCAGTCTCCATGGCAACCCAGAGTTGGAAAAAGATCCATATTGTAAGTACATGTATATTAAATGTCATTTCCTTGACTAAATTACTCTTTTTAGAGAATGTAGAGTTTTACTTGGGATCAGAGGTGTAATAGGGCCCAAAATTATAGATGTTAATTTTATGTACATGTATTATTATAACTAGGTAATCTGTGTACTTGGTCATTGGATGAGCTATAAATTTTTTAAGTTTTGGATAAAAGCTATGATGTGAGATGAAATGATATTGAATAAGAATCTAGATATGATAGTTCATTTATTATATTAATCATATTCAGCATGCATGTTTTTGACAGTTTCATAGTTGTGATATAGTTGTCATTGTCATTCAAAACCTTTTTGACATTTATGTATGTACACCATATGGAATTAATAAATACATATATTTGAAAATTCTTCACTCATTGACTTTACTCATTGCTCTTTATACTTGATGTATTTTTATGCTTCAGATCGTATCCATGTAATTGATTGCCTTTCAAACATCTGGATGCTGGATGGAAGGATTATTACATGTAAGTAGCCTAAATGCTTTTTGTCTCACGTGGTGAGTGTATAGAATCACCCTCTCATCCATCAGTTATCCATCAAGAATTTTTGGAAATAATGAAAACTGCCATTCATCATTCACTCTTCATTTAAAAAGTTAATATATCCTGGAAAGTTCTATTAGTACATAGTCTGATTTTCACAATATGAATGATAACATAAAACAATTTACAATGTACAGTACATGCATATCTATAATCAATCACATGTATTATTAAGTATTTTTGGATTAATTCAATGTTGAATGCTCATGACAAACATCATCAAAAAATGTACTGCAAACATGTTTCTATTATTTCAGCTGCGGAGCGTCATCAAGTTGAACAGTTCTTTAATGATACAGCTCTGTCTGCCCATCCTGTGGTATGTATATGAATATAATACACTGTACAGCTATTTCTGTCAACCCTGTGGCAGACATGACGTGAAATGTTACTCTTAGCTTTTTTCTTGAAAAAGTGCAATAAGAAATATAATTGGATCAAGTTGATTTACTCTTAATTTTTTGTATATTGTTATCCCATAGAACGAAAATTGTAGGGAACACCTTCATCTGCCCATACATCTGTACATACGTCCATCCGTATGTCTGTCCGGGTGATAACTCAAATACCATTGACCTGATTTTGTTCATATTTTGTAAACATATGCCATATGAGGGTAGAAGTTTAGCTCGACAGCCAATTTTCAAAATGACTGCTTGTTTAAAAATGATGGGCATTTTAGTGCTGATTTTACAGTAACGTAGGTCAATATATAAAACTGTAGTACATGGGCGTAGTGCCCAGTACCCCTGGTATGCACAGGCGTACCAGTTGGTTGCAAAAACACTCGAAATACAACCAAAGTTCAAAATTTAAAGAAGAATTTTGTAATTTTGCTGTTCCATGGGATTTGCTACCCTTTGGCGTTGCTGTTATCTAGTTGTATACCATTACTTATAATATCAACACAAGATATGCATCATCATCATTATTGTTAGCAACTAATAACGCATAACATATTTTCAAAATCCTCCTTCAACATGTACCTTTACTGGTTTGACTAATAACAGCCTAAGTTATTTGATTGACCATCAAAATAAAGTTCCAACTATTTTTCACTTATTAAAATGATTTTTATTATGTTTTCAGGCAACCACTTATACTTATACTTCTTAGAATGAATATTTGAGATTTTGAATGTTAATAAGCTATCTGATTTATTGTGAAATTATAAATGGGCTTTTTTAAAAATGTGCATAGTAATATTTTGAAATCCATAAGCTAAATATGATATCCTATGACTTTCTAGGGCTATCATTTTTTATGCACTTGTGGATATCACTCATCTTTGCTTTCTCACCACAGTTATTATCCCAACGAACAAAGTTCGTTAGGGATATAGTGAAGCCCTCCGTCTGTCCGTCAGTCTGTCAGTCAGTCAGTCAGTCAGTCCGTCCGTCTGTCCGGAAGATAACTCAAATACTAGTTGACAGATTTTCTTCATATTTAGTGGAAAGATGTATATTGGTGAATAGTTTTACGCAAAAAAAAAATTTCAAGATGGCCGCCGCTTTAAAAATGACGGGACTTTTTCGCAAAAATCATAAATTTTTCATTCTAAACCAAAGTAATTAATATTATTGTTTGAAATTTTGGTAGTGTATTCACAACATTTATCTATTTCACATATATTCCGTGTTTTTCATCCTGACCCCCAGGGGCCATGTATGGGGGGACAGGAAAACAGATATTTTCGCTAATTTTTAGATCTTTCTGAAGTATAGCTTTATTATACTCAAATGAAAGGCAGTTAAAAGTAGATTGCAAATATTGTATCTTTTTTCTGATTCGAGCCTCGTAAAATTCAAAATGGCCGTCTAATGTACGATTTCGCAATAATTTTTCGATCCCTTCAAAGTATGGCTATATTATACTCAAATTGAAGGAATTTTGGAGTAGATCACAATTATGGTTTCAGATTTGTACCTCAGAAAATTCAAAATGGCTGCTTTGCAGGAATTTGCAATTCTAAAATCTAATTTTTTCATTTTCAACCAAAGTAATGAGTAAAATTGATTGGAATTCGGTAATTGATATTTTGTTCGTTGGGATTTGCTACTCCGCGGAGTTGCCGTTATCTAGTTTATGGAGATGGTTGATACCCCCTTATATTTCACATGTACCTTTAACATATAATTCATTGTGATATTCCATAGCTTAATAGTCCCAATTTTACAAGTCATGTGGTTAATGACATGTGGATATGTTGTGTTGCTTATATTTTTCAGAGACACAAACTGCCCAGAGAACCATTTGTTCCCTCCAGTCATAAACTTATCTCTGTTAATGGTGTTCATGGGGCAAAGGTATGGAAAGCTTCAGTATTTTATGATATAAACACAAAAATTGAATTTAAATTGAAATGTTACATTACATGAAGTGTATTAGTATGATATTTGTGTCTTGAATAAATGTTTATATCCATTTAATGGGAGTCCAAACTGGTAATTTGCACCATTTGACCATGCTCTTACTTTTGCCTCATTTTTTCAAAAAATATAAGGAATAACCATGTAAGCCTACTAGTCTATACTGAATGGTGCCATTTTGGAATATTGCACTCACAATAACATAATAAGTCATACCTTAATATTTAAAATTAGAAATCTTTATCCCTGATCATACAGAGCTAGAGTAAAATAAAGCGTTTGCATTTTTATGTTTTATGCAAAAATATTATTTATCACAGATGCATTTCTGAACAATTTAAATTCCATTTCAGGCATCAACTATGTTCCGCTTTTTCCCTGTGAATGGTGCTTTAAATCAGGGTACGTTTATCAGTTTTGATAAAACCGTTACAATAATCACTTGTTAACTTTGGTTCTGAAATTCTTAAAATTATTGAATCAAGATGTGATCTTAGCCGATGTTAGCAATCATTGCTTCACCAGGTTTGTTTCAGATGAACTTAACGAAGGAAAGGCTAATAATTTGTGTTTGATAACCAATTTGATGAAGAGATCTGAATTCCTTATGATTCTTACATGACCCACCCTACAGAGTTTTTTTTATAGATACAGATACCAGAAGGATCCTATATCTCTGTAGGAATTTCCAGGAAGATGCAATATTAGAGCAGAGTTACACAAAACGGTAAATTCTTACCTTATGGATTACTCACACAGAATGACCCAAAAACTGGATCACAGATAATCTCAAATTACTTGACTCTGTGTCACTTTGTGCATCACAGTAAAATAGACTAATTTACCAAAAAAATTCTAACAGTATATTGGAAATTGTGGATTCGTAATGTAACTTCAAAGGTTAGGTTAAATTTTATGTACCATTACATTTTTTTTTTTATTAATTTTTAAATCAAGCTGGCTTGGTAAACGCTCATAGAACTCACATTTCTTAAAGTTCAAAAACTTTCAGACTCCCCATGCACTTTCCTTATAAATAATATACTATAAATAGAACAGGAAAATATAAAGCCAGGTACACATTTTGTATATCGCAGACAATGAAGAAAGTAATGAAATATAATTGTCCATGTAATGTAATTGATTTCAGAAAACTTCCAATTTTGGAGCATTGTCCATCATTTCTGGAAGAATTGGTTGAGCACCGACTGATAGAGAGGGAAGCTTGCAATATGCTCCTACTTTTCCTTGTGGTACGTTTTTTATTTGGAAATTGATTCATAATCTTGGGATTTACAGAACATTTGTGGTCCACAACAGAGTGCAGTTAGTCTCATTTACTGGTCTAATGTCTTACAGGAATAGGACATTTGTTATAAAGGGATTTTCAGTATGGTTGCTCAATTCAAAATGGCCACTCTATTTCATGAAAAATGTAATATTGTTGGTTTAAATGTTAAAACCTGATGCTTTAGGACCATTAGACCTCTTGTCAAGAAAATATTCTCAAGATGACCACTTCACTGAATTCAAAAATGCCACCATTTTTCATAAAAAATATCATCCTGAATTTGGACGGAGGGGGAGTAGGCGATTTCTGCAAAAAGTATTCAACAGATCTGGAAGATTTATTTTTTAATCAGAAAGTTTACTACTGAATTGCTGAATGAATAGGCACATGGTATGGTAAAAAATGTTACGTCTTCTAGGATTTTTTTTGAACTGATACGCTTCTAAGATATGAGATCTATTAAGAAAGGCGCAATGCAACCAAAATACACATGTGTCAATGTTTTTGCTATAAATCAAGCAACAATGGTCTACACGACCTATCTTAAATACTTGTAAGTGACGTCATCATAACAAAATTAATGCCATTGCCTTTTTTTATAGATCTTATATCTTAGAAGCGTATCAGTTCAAAAATAATCCTAGAAGACCTAACATATTTTACCATACCGTGTGCTTATTCATTTAGCAATTCAATCGTAAATTTTCTCTTTAAAAACTGCTCTGCTCATGGAGGAATTTTCAAGATGGCTGCTTAATTCAAAATGGCCACCATATGTAAATTCATATGATTTCACTACTCAAAATTCAATGCAAAAACAATTATACCAAAAGAATCTTTGTAGTATTCAACTGATCAGAAGAGTGACATGTTTTTGATTTTTTGTTTCTTTTTTTCTTAGATATGTAGAGTACTTTATTGTTTTATTGCTGTTTTCAGGCCTCACTTGAGTTTGCTTTACCTGCCAGCCTTGTACAAAGTACCCTTCAGACATCCAAACTTGCAGTGGTTGGGTAAGTTCATTCACATTTGTAATACTGAACTTCAAATATAACATTTAGATCATGATAATGTTTCTTGTTCTGTGGTAAACCCTGATTTCTTGTGAACTTTTATTTTGTAATGGTATTTTGTCATACAACACATGCTCTTTTACTAATTTTTGTACACCATTGCACAGAGGTGAGTTGAGTTTTAAAGTCACGAAATAAAACTCTTGAAAGAGAAATCCTTTCTTTGTCTAAACTAAGTCTTACATAGACTAGATGCGAGTAGATTTAATCTTGATTTACGTCATTAAATATTCAGAGTTCAGTCAAAGTGATATCATATTTGAAATCTACAAGTAAAAATACATCTGGTAATATGGTTACAGAAATTGTTTATCATCTTTGAAAATTTATTTTTTTTGAAAATGTAATTTCTAGTTCGGGGAGATTCCCCATAGAGCCCATGTTATAAAATCAGAAAAAGTTAAATATCTTTTCTTGTAATGGACAGATAATATTTTCTTTAACTGGACATATTTTAATTTGCATAACTATTAGATACATAAGGGTGATATGAAAATTGAACTGCTAAAACAGATGAATATTAAGTTAAAGGGAACTTTCTCCTATACCCGATATGCTATCTGACCCGAATGAGCCACCTAGTGGTGAAACTGGTAACTACCTACTGGAATCTGAGTCATTGTTCCATCAATACAGAGTACTTTAGAGTTCAGAAAAAATGCCTCTCTTCGTTTCACTTTTCAAAGCTACATGCAGGTTACATTTAGTTTTTTTTGGATGTCTATTTAATGAGATGAGGGCCCTGCATCCCATTCTTAATCAATATGATTCATATTGTCTCATTGTAGGAGAGTATATACCATGGACTTATTTATGTTGCCCCGTGATATGCGTTGTCAGGTTGCTTCCATTCTCCTTAGCGCAGTGAAGGTAGACAGAGACATAGGACAGGTATGTATTTATAAGAAATAAATAATTATAGGCCATTTAATATGGTGAAATTCAGCATGAGTTGGACAGAATGTCGTACAAAGCACAAACTGATGGTGAATGCATTTGTACTGACATTCTGTCCAATGAGTTTAGAATTTCACCATATTGAATGGCCTCTCATTATTTATTCTGATTCAAACATAAAAATGAAAAACCTGATCAATTTTTTTTCTATTTTCCTCGTGAATTTTTTATGAGGATTTTATTTTTCTCAAGAAATTAGAAACATGTTGTTGTAACTGATGTGAACCATCAGTGTTAAATGTCATTATTTGTATTGAACAATGTCAATCTCTTTCATTTAATTCTATTTTGTTGTTTTTCATGAGGTTCGATTTAATTTAATTTATATATGATTTCCTCCAATCAATTCTCAATCCTTGCCTTGTTATCTCATTTTTGAATTTTTCACATTGCTCAATTACGTCCAATTGATTTAAAACTTTTGATTTTCAAATGAAAACACTGACATTGTTAGTATTCACTTAATTCTAAAACATCTGATTTCAGGAAGGAGGGTTATATGATAGACTGTATTTAGCACTGTATCATTCAGTGTCACAATTGATGAGTCTAGGTCATTCAGATAACACTTGCAAATCACCCACCAAAGTAAAACCCACTCCAGTGTAAGTACAAACTTAATGCAGGCTGTTCAATATGTTAAAGCAAACATTTTACACTTTTCAAGCAAAGAGATTTGATCTTCAGCAGTATTAGAAATGGGAACTTGTCAATGACTTAGAAATCATACAAACTAATAATATTAGTGCTATGAGGACTATGAATATTTGAACATATTTTAGAGATTGTTTTTACTGATTTGTTTTGATTTAGGAAATTAAAAAGTCAAGTCACCTTATATAAAGGCTAATAGATGCGGACTAAAATATTGACCTAATATAAATTATCGAAAAACCAAAACATTTTGTGTAACTTACAAAGTTTACGCCAGTGATCTGTTCCTTTTAACCACATTTTTGAACCAACATGTTCAGCAGCCCATCATACACATATACTTGTACATGTACTTTGTTTTACAGAAATTAATATTAATAGTTTTGTCAGATAAACTCAAATGATTATCCTGAATGAAATAAAGTCAGAACTGTGGGACTTTTTCAAATATAATCATGACATGGAATAATGAGAGTAAAATATTGTAAATTTCTCTGCAACAATTTGTTCTAAATGAATTAACTGTCAATGTGCTATGTAGTTCCTTTGAATCACCCATATCAGTTTGTGTTACTTGAACTTGAGCTGGCTTATTATTTGTTTCTTGTTCTTATTCCAGACTAAAGGAATCCAAGTGCCTAATAGCATCCGAAGTAGTACAACTAATGTGTATTGTAGCATCATTCTTTGAATGCTGCCTTCAAGATGTGGGTAAGTTTTATTTTGAAAAATATCATGGTACATGTACCAGTATATTGTGGGTTCCACAGCCTCTTCAAGTTTTATTTTGAAAATTATCATGGTACATGTACCAGTATATTGTGGATTCCACAGCCTCTTCAAGTTTTATTTTGAAAAGTATCATGGTACATGTACCAGTATATTGTGGGTTCCACAGCCTCTTCAAGTTTTATTTTGAAAAATATCATGGTACATGTACCAGTATATTGTGGGCTCCACAGCCTCTTCAAGTTTTATTTTGAAAAGTATCATGGTACATGTACCAGTATATTGTGGGCTCCACAGCCTCTTCAAGTTTTATTTTGAAAAGTATCATGGTACATGTACCAGTATATTGTGGGCTCCACAGCCTCTTCAAGTTTTATTTTGAAAAGTATCATGGTACATGTACCAGTATATTGTGGGTTCCACAGCCTCTTCAAGTTTTATTTTGAAAAGTATCATGGTACATGTACCAGTATATTGTGGGCTCCACAGCCTCTTTAAGTTTTATTTTGAAAAGTATCATGGTACATGTACCAGTATATTGTGGGCTCCACAGCCTCTTCGAGTTTTATTTTGAAAAGTATCATGGTACATGTACCAGTATATTGTGGGTTCCACAGCCTCTTCGAGTTTTATTTTGAAAAGTATCATGGTACATGTACCAGTATATTGTGGGCTCCACAGCCTCTTCAAGTTTTATTTTGAAAAGTATCATGGTACATGTACCAGTATATTGTGGGCTCCACAGCCTCTTCAAGTTTTATTTTGAAAAGTATCATGGTACATGTACCAGTATATTGTGGGCTCCACAGCCTCTTCAAGTTTTATTTTGAAAAGTATCATGGTACATGTACCAGTATATTGTGGGCTCCACAGCCTCTTCAAGTTTTATTTTGAAAAGTATCATGGTACATGTACCAGTATATTGTGGGCTCCACAGCCTCTTCAAGTTTTATTTTGAAAAGTATCATGGTACATGTTTAATGTGGGTTCCACAGTCTCTTCTGTCTTAGGAAGAGAGGAGAGCCACACACAAGCGTTAGATGAAGAGGAACTTTAATAAACCATAATGTTACTACAGTACAGACTATTTCACAATGTATTATGAATGTGGTACATGTACTTGGATTGATAAATTGTGATAATAATTGATACAATAGTATATGTCTGTGAAAAGTTGTTCAAATATGAAAATATCAAAGTGGAAAGCAATAAAGATAGACATGTATACAAATACGATATATTGTGTAAAATTGTTTTATTTAAAAGAAAATATGAAAAATAATCTTGAGAAGGTGCAATGTATTGACACAGGCTGGTATCGAAAGATTTGTCCGCTGTGAAGGAGCATGCTATTTTTCATAAAAACACTAAGAATGCTTCACGATTTATTTTTTAACTCATATGTTTCGTTATATCAAAGATAATTACTTACTCCATGCAATGGATATATCATTTGCGTGTAACCTTCACTTCTGTTTGAAGTCCAATAACGCTAGGAGTAAAATCTATTGAACACGGCGCCAGAGTATCAAACTCTAAAATGTACCATTTCTTTTTTAACTTTTTAATGGCATGATATAGTGACACGATAATTTTAACATATGTTTTAAGCATAACTCTGAATGTATTAATGAGATATTAATGCATTGGGTCTTTTTAATTTTTTAAATAAAAAATAATATTAATATTTTTTGTCCGCTGTGACGGAGCATTTTCACAGTTCACATTTGCAACTGCTCCGTCACAGCGGACAAAAAAATTAAACATTATTTTTTATAAAAGAATTAAAAAGACCAAATACATCAACATCTCATTTATACCTTCATAGTTATGCTGAAACCATGTGTAAATATTATCGTGTCACTATATCGTGCCATTAGAAAGTTAAACAAGAAATGGTACATTTTGAAGTATGATACTCCGGCGCCATTTTCAATAGCTTTTCTTCCCAGCGTAATTGGACTTCAAACAGAAGTGAAAGTTACCCGCAAATGATATATCCATTGCATGGAGTAAGTAATTTTGTATGGTATAACGAAACATATGAGTTAAAAAATAAATCGTGAAGTATTCTTAGTGTTTTTACGAAAAATAGCATGCTCCGTCACAGCGGACAAATATTTCGATACCAGCCTGTGATTGATGGTGGTGAATTTCTCTATTTAGAGAAGTTAAAAAGAAAGCCACTATAAATTTTACATAATGAATTTGCAATGCTGTATTTTGACATGTTTTAGGTTTAAAACATTTAGTTACCGTGGCAACTGGTGATGCAGAAATAATTGAGAAATTAGCTGCTCTGATGGACAAAGTCAGCAATAAGGGGGTAGGTAGACATTGTATATATTATACTTCATTTTAGAAAAAAAGCTCATTTAATCAAAAAGAAAGTTTTATTAAAGATAGCAATATATTTTTGAAAACAATAATTCTGTTGAATGGTAAGACGTTCAATAAAAATTAGGTTTTAGCAAACTTTATACTAAACAATAATTCTCCTAAAATTGATTGACCTTAAAATCGTATCTAATAAAGATTACCAAAATTCCAATTACGTATTATTTTAGAAGATAAGGTTTAGTAATATATTGGTGTTTGATTTACTTTATTGTGTCAACAGGAAGAAGGTGGTCCTGCACTTGAACTTGTAGCAGAGTTTCTGCTATCTGCTATACAAGCACATGCTTTCAATGTGATCAACAAGAACTTTAAGATCCCCCAGACTTCTTCCTATGTACTCAAGGTTAGTGTTAGCTTAGGGCCAAAAGTTAGTAATGACAATTCATGCAATGTTAAACTGAAGCTAAACCAAGAAGTAATGGCTTATTTGGTAAATAGTATTTGGCTTTTAAAGACTGTTAAAATTGTAATACTCTTATACCTTTGTCAGGTGGTGACATGTTATTTTAATGCCTTGTTTTTATGTACTTATGAATAGTCTGTTAAAGCCCCAAGATAAATATCTGTCCCATCTTAATTCTGTTTAATTTTTTCTTTCCTTTTGTCTAATGTGTGTTTTATGAAGGGGTATACAAGGGATGATGACAACTCTGAAGTAAAGAAATCTGGATAAAAGATGACACTTTATAATTTTTTTATTTTATTTTTAGACCAGTAGAGCATTGCCAAAACGTCCACAGTCTTCTCCTCTTTACAAAGCAAACTTTCACGCTGTTGGCAGAAAGACTCCCGATGACCGACCAATCAGGATACAGAGTGCCAAAGTTAGGAATCCAGAAAAAATGCATACGCCTGGTCTGTACATATTTTGGACAGTTTTTTTAATATGAGGGTTACCTAAAAGTGGATTGTCAAAAGATTTTTAGAAGATTTAATGTTAGGCAAAATTTATTTGTGTGCACAATAATGCCATGTCTCAGGTCTTGGCCATTGGAATGACTTATTGTTTTAATATATCTTATTTTTCAGCACTTGGAGACAGTGTTTTACTAAGTGCCCAGTCAGTTGGGAAAATAATTTCTCTTCCCGAATGTGACATTGCTCTTGTTCAGTTGACAGATATACCAGGTATGATATTGTATAGCAGATATGATTATATGATATAGCTTAAATGTGTGCTGTCCATGGCCATTTACATTTTTACTGACATACAGAAGAATGCTATGTCTGAAATGTGAATGCTTTTCACATCTCAGGTTTTGAAGGTCCCATTGTCTCTCAACAATTAAATTTTAGAAACTATGTATTGAATTGCATGTTATCATAATGACTGTGTATTGAATTGCATGTTATCATAATGACTGTGTATTGAATTGCATGTTACCATAATGACTTTGTATTGAATTGCATGTTATCATAATGACTATGTCTTGAATTGCATGTTATCATAATGACTATGTATTGAATTGCATGTTATCATAATGACTGTGTATTGAATAGCATTTTATTATAGTGACTGTTTATTGAATCAAATTTTATCATAGTGACTGTGTATTGAATCAAATTTTATCATAGTGACTGTGTATTGAAATGCATGTTGTCATAATGACTGTGTGTTGAATCTAATTTTATCATAGTGACTGTGTATTGAATGGCATGTTGTCATAGTGACTCTGTATTGAATTGAATGTTATCACAGTGACTGTGTATTGAATCAGATTTTATCATAGTGACTGTGTATCGAATAGTGTTTTATCATAGTGACTGTGTATTGAATGGCATGTTGTCATAGTGACTCTGTATTGAATTGAATGTTATCATATTGATGTTTATTCCATTGCATGTTTTTTGCTTTATATCCTCTTATAGTACCAAATGGTGGTGTTGTTAATAAAAGCAAATCAGAAGATGATCACTACACATATGTTAACATGAAACAATGCTACTGGGAGAATTATTCCAGCATGTGGAGACCTAAGGGAACAATAGGAGACAGGTATATAGGTCTATTTTGCTCATTGATTAAGTTAATCAGTGTTTCACTGAATGGTTCACAACACAAAAAGACTGTGACGTGAGCTTGGATGTCCATGTACTAGTGTTCAAACATGCTATACATTACCAGTAGCTGTCTTGAATTAAGACATTAATAAGTAATACAAACAAACATATGCATGTGCATGCTAGATTCAAAAGTCTTCTTGTGTTTCCTTTTCTTTCTCACCTATGAACAATACTTAAGATGGATCTGATGCTGACCTGTTTATTTTTGCTTGTGGAATGTAAAGCTGTTCTGTTGTAAAGCTTGCTTGCATGGAAATAAAATTGTTAATATGCATGCTGTCTCGTTTTATATCACCACCACGAGTGGTGACATTGTTATAGTCTCCAACTTTTTTGTGGACAGTGGTTGGTGATTGGCATTCAGTGTCTGTTACAAATGCCACATGGTGATGTTTTGCATGTTGAAAGCCTTGTTACACTACAGAATGAGAGGGATTATAGGGCACCAAGTCTTGATGCTCTCATACTCAACAAAAAAGTACATCACACCATCATACTGTTCATTATTAACAATACCATAAAACATGTTTTGGTAGGGTCACTGCACAGTATGGTGAAGAAGGGGAGGATGGTCATCAGGAAAGTAAACCCAGTCAGGGTAAGATGTTGGTTGATGGCCACAGCCCACTTAGAAAACAGGTATGGTTCAGTTGCAGATTATACAGCCTTTAACTGAGAATGACAACTGTGTTTTAAGTAAATTATTACGACGTTAAAACATATTTTAAAGCCACTGATTTTTCATAACTGATGTTAGGTGTTAGATCTTAGCGTCTGCAACAATTCATCATTTTTTATAGAACTTATTTAGACATTACAAATAAAACAAACACTAAACATAGTGAACTTGTTTATAGCATCATAAGTCAGCTAAACTGCTATTTTTGCATACACTTATTGATTCACTTTTAGCGAGATGCTACTGTGAAGTCTGTATCCTCGCAACTAAAGGTGAAACACAAGCTAAAGCTGACAGGTAGAACTTCTAGTGACCCGCACAGAGAGGTAGAACACCCTGGTGCCCCTGATACAAGCCCAAGGGAAATTAGTAGCCAGGAGATTGTCCAAGGATTGTTGGATATTTGTATAAATGAAGCAGTAGGAAATTCAGAGGAAAATACTTCACATAATCTAGAGGTAGATCAATAAATTTCATCCAAGCCCAAGAAAATATAGAAAATAGGTCAACTTTTGAAAACTTAACAATTAATTCAATGGACAATATTTAAAACTTTGCACTCATCAACATTTGCAAATTCCTAAACTTTGGTATATAGAAAAACTGCTAAGTTGACCAGTGATCCATTAAATTCATATAAGTGAACTTCTGTAATTGGAATACCTCCTACAAATAAAACCCACTTTGGAAGTTCCCAATGATGTTCCACTTACACAGGTTTAAATCTATTTCAATTGCAGGTGAAATCAAGTGAACACCCCTCTATTGTGAAAGACTATGAGACTCCTTCAAATCCTACAAATGACACTGTTCCGCAGACATCCCCAGAATCACCCAGTGCATACCCAAAGTCAAAATCCCCTTTGTTGAATGACTCTAGACCTGGGAGTGCAAACAACCCTATCCAGGTACCATCTATGGATAAGCTGAACATTGAGGATTCACTGAGTGAGGGAATACCCGATGAGAAGGTGGATAGATGGCTGGCAAGGCATAGGAAGAGGCTATTGAATGGTTCAACACAATCTGGGACTAGGGCCAGCAGTGCAGCAACTTCACGTAATAAGTAAGTTTAATATTGGAAAGATCTGAGTAATGAATGGTATAATCTTGATTTTCATTAATGTTCTTGTTTTTTTGTATACCATAAACTTCCTGATAAACTAGCTGTTAAGCATAAACTGGAAAAAGTATTGTATATACACATATACAGGTATCAAAAAAGTATGGCAAAACATGAGCTAAAGAGAATATCATTTGAATAAAAACTCCTTAGAATGTGAGGAAAACTTCATATAATTCTTCTCTGCAAAAATTATAGATACTGGCTGTGCCCATGGTTATGTAGCTGAAACCAATTGATATTTTAAGAGAATGAAAAACAAAAAATAATCATACATTTTCAGAACCAAAACAAGAATTCGACCCTTCAGTGCTGTTGATGCCTACCAATTTACTCTGACTCATCCGGCCAAGAAGCTAGATGATACTGCATATAGGTCAGCCTATCAGAATACTCGAACTGATGCATGGCGACAAAGTGCCTCCGACAATATGGAAAGAGTGTCTTTCACTGGTATGTGTATCTCCTTGATTACTGAGTAAAATCTTTCAGTGGTTATGCATATGAAATAAACCATTTTTCAAAACCCCCATTATGCAGGGGGAATAACCCCAGGGTTCAAAGAAGACATATGTCTAACATGTAAATCTGTATTGAGAAGACATATCATCCTGATTGGTCAAATCGACAGACAAGCAATGGCGGTTTCAAAATTTTCGAAACACGCTTCGAATAATATGTTAATTTCTGGCGTTTTGATTGATATCGCAAGAGACTAAATTATATCTGTTAAATCTTAAGCTCTGGGGCTTTTCTCCCTCTTCCCATTATGTTAATCAATAGAATGTTATTTAGTATGAATTAAGAAATATAGACCGAAGAGCAGGGCTACTATTTTCGAATACACCCCGCAGGGCTTGGCACAAACGTTTTCCGAACGAAGGGAGTGAGGGGTTCGAAAGTTTTTGTGCCTAGCCCTAAGGGGTATATTCAAAAATAGTAGCTCTGCTCTGAGGTCTATATTACGATTCAAACATGAAAACTCACCAGAATATTGCAAAATCGTCAATTTCGATGTCCATTTCCACTTTTTTCATTTTTACTTCCGGTTGAGCTTTTTCACTGAACGAAACCAGGTGAAACATTGACTTTGTTCACAGTTTATAAAAGCCGTGAATACAGTCATGTTCGAATAACGAATAACTACCACTTTGAACAAACATTAAGATAGCTCTGGAATGCAGAATATTATTTATAGTCATGAACTTTTTTGTGGACGATGTTCAGTGATTGACGTTCGGTGGTCAGCATCTGTAACAAATGTAAGGTGGTGACATTTTTGTTAAAACCACATTTTTTATATCTTAAGTTGAGAAAACTTGTGCATTATGGATGTTTATGAAACATTTGATTATTGAACGATTCATGAAATTACAGATGAAGTTCATGCTCCTGATCATCAGGATAACACTTATGCTCACAATCAGAGGAAAAAACAGGAAAAATCTGTGCTCCATGTTCGGAAGGGTGACACATGGCTAGCAGCAGGACGTAATTTATACTTTGAAGAAGTTATGTCACGTCCGTATGTGACACACACCCCAGGCTGGAAACAGGAATTGATTGACAAGCAACGGTCACGCCCCAAATCTGCTGCAGCTCAACGTTCATACAGGTTTGTATTCCTAATCTCCACTGTGATCATTTTTGTTGATAGCATTGTACACAGGGCTCTCACCAGGCTTTTAGACTGTGGCGCAGCACCACACTCTAGTTAGCTCCCACCACACCCTACTGGTAAATCATGATTGTTTCCACAGTCTAAACTTGACTGAATATACAATACTAGCATGAAAAAAGGATAAAATATTTATAAATATGATTTATCATGATTGAACCGTAATGCTGAAGATGTTTGCACCACACCCTAAATATTTCCTGCTGAGAGCCCTGGTACATGTACCTTAGAGATTTATTTTCTGTCTTTTGTTTAACAATTCCTATGCTAGGGGGTCTTGTGAAAAAGTCACTCTACCTTGGTGGGAATTGAATCCAAAACCTCCCAGTTATGTCAATAGAAATCTGAATTTTCATATAATGTCATGTGCATTTGTATTTATTATTATTTTCAGTCGAGCAACAATTCCACACATCATGACACCATCTTCTATGATTTATGACGGCTATACAGGTAAGGAGAGAACCGATGCTCCGCAACCAAAGATGGCCAAGCTAAATTCCAATTTTTCTTTAGGTTTAGGGTTGGGGTTTAGGGTTGAAGTATCTTCAGCCATCTTTGGTTGCAAACCGCAAAATCTTTACCCATACAGGTAAATGTTACTGAACATTACAAAGAAAGTACAAACAGCTTAGGTTTGTAAAGTATGCAATAGAGTTATGAATAAGACCCTAGTTTATGGTATTCCAGCACCTGCACTTGTAGAATAGTTGTATTTGAATAATTGATTTATGGCCTGTTTAATACATGGTAGTTTTATTTTAGATCTATACCCATATGTTCATGCAGACTGTTTAGTGGAAGAAAGATATAGCAGCATCATGTAGAAATGTTCTTGTTATAAATTAGAATGTGGGCTATTGAAAGAATCTGACTTGATTTAAATGCCCACTCTAAATGCTATGGAAAGCACAAATTGAAAATGGTGCAAATATCAAGATAGCCTTGCTATCCTGTATCCAATTTGCATTTTGATGAATCTCTATTACCCTAATCATTCTTCAAATATTGCCCTGTGTTTCAGATCTCTATGACTTTAAGACAGATATGCCAGATATAAGTGACTATAATCAGCCAATAACATACCCGGTACGTCAACTTGGGCAGACTCGGAATCACCACTGTAACAGCCCCCGGGCAGGATACGGCAGTCCTCGGTCAGCGGCAGAAATGTAATACTTTCTAGCATCAATTCAGCTTGTTGGGTTATAGACAGAGGAGGATTTTACCCATGATTCATTGGAGTTCTTTTTACTAATCAGTCATTGAAGATATCATGGGGTTTAAATTTAAAGGGATTAACCAAAACTAAATGCTATAACATGTACACTAGTTTGCTTATGATAACATTCAAAAGTGCTTCAAAAGCTTTTTAATTCGATCGTTTTTCAATATATAAAATGATGACAAAATATTTTGGGATAATGGGAAATAATTTTATCTTTTAGGCAACTAACTGTTATATAATGTACTTCAATTTTCCTTAATAGCAAGACTATTTGATGCTTATTAGTTTTTCATCTGACCAAGGACTATCTACATTCAGGGGTCTGGTGTAGACATAACAATGTGTATTTTCTGTGGTGTTCTATTTGGCATTCTCCATGTGCAGATCTTGTGTTGGAAGCACACATTGAAATAACTGGAGAAAGACATTAGTGTGACTGCTTAAAATGTAGTTGTAATAGATGCATAACTCTACCATTGAATATTTTGAATCTGTTAACATTAGCACTTTCTGGCAGTAGTCGTGTATTTATATGTTACAAGTGCCTTTAATGTCAATTATTTTAGTCTGCTACCTTTGACACATTTATAAACATCATTGTATTGTATGTTAATATTATTAGTATGTTGTGTTTGTCTAACATAGCACTGCACTGGCAATATTATTATTTGTGCTCCATTTACTAGTACAGTATGTGGAACAAGTGCATTTTATGTTAATCATTTTAGTCTGCTACCACTGACACATTTATAAACATCATTGTATTACATGTTAATATTGTAGTATGTTTTATTTGTCTAACATAGCACTCGGATTTTGACTTGAAAGACTTTATGTAAAATAGAATGAAAATGACACAACCAATATTTCTAATTTTGTTGGAACATTCTCAATTGTTGTGTGCTTTATAGGATTTTAGAGAAAGGGATAGGGATCTTTTTGTTTTGTTTCCATTTTATTTCAATCCAGATGCAAATGATTTCTTGCAAAAGACCTCTGTTTTAATACATTTCGGTTGGCAATCATCCAATCATTTCAGATATAACATGTAATATGAAAATGTGTTCAATCCTTATATGATTGTTTAAATTTCAAAAAGAAAAAAGGCTTTTACCATTTTACACTAAATGAGGCCATATCATGCTAGATTTTTGTCACTTTTTGGTGTTCGTTTTGAGATGACTTGGAAAAAGCTGAATAAAGTACCAGGAGGGTGAGTTTTTGTAGTTTGTTTGTTGGATGTTTCTGAAGTTAGTAGAATGAGACCAGTAAACATGAGCTGGCTCAGGGGCTTAGCCAGGTGGAAAAATAAAAATAGATGAGGCAAATGTAAAAAGGTGAGGCAATTGTAAATAGGTGAGGCAATTGTAAATAGGTGAGGCAAATTAAGGTATAATACTACCATTGGACTTCATTTTCACAATTTGAGTTTTAAAAATTTGACGAGGCAATTGCCTCTCCTGCCTCATGCCTGGCTTTGCCACTGCTAGCTTGTAAAGGTTGTATTCTCTAGCTTTACATCTACACATAAATTATTTTGCATGTATTATATAGATGTACCAGGTATGCCTGTAATAATTACATTAGAATAGGAACATTAATTGACAGAAATGATTTTTACTCATAAAAGCAATTTTCTTTATTTTAAATTATGATTATAATATTATATCATAACTAGCATTTTTATGTTAATCTTAAAGATAATAATATAGTTGATTAAATACCAATATTTTCATGACAAGAATCTCGCAAAAATGATAATGTATTATTTTTAAGATGTATTTTTGTTTTAAGCGTACAGTCCTTTTTGGTTCTAAAAGGGTTGCAACATAAAGTTTTGAATTCATTGTGATCTAAAATAACAAAATGGATAATCATACATGTCATTATTTTTATTTAAATTTTCAGGAGCAATAGTTTTCATGGAGCGACATGTAACGATTGTCTAGACAGAACATATATTGACATGGACTTCTACAGTAATCTGTTTAACTAAATATAGTTACTATATCATAATTTGACTATATGAATCTTTTCTGCATCTTAGAATATATACAGTACATGTACATGTATTTTATTAAACAGGTGATATTAAGATATGTTGAACTGTGACAACTGAAACTTTGTGAATCAAGACAATATTAAGTAGACTGTGATCTGTTGATACAGGAAACGGTGTGATTAACACACATTCTTTGAAGTAGACTGTGATATAGGAAACGGTGTGATTAACACACATTCTTTGTTGATATTGAATCTACTGGAAAACAAATGTTAGGGATGACATCCAATTGTCAGCAAAGAAGATGTCGGTTTCATATGTTCTGGGCCAATATAAAGATGGCAGCACCAACAGAATCTAGTATTAAAAATGATTTCTATCGCCCTTAGACTATGGTTGATTTGACTTTATCCCTTGAATGATTAGAAAATCAGCATTCATCACTAACAAAATTAAATTGACCAAGGCTATATATTTTTTTTGAATGTAGATAAACAATTTGATCTCAAATATTTATATATGTAAATGACAAGGCTGACCTTTGTGTTAAATACATTTTTCTATAACACTTAAGAGAAGAGGTCATTCAAAATACAGTAAAACCTGCCCTAACATAGAGTTACCCTTTGAAAGGTGTTTGCAGGTTTTATTGTACAGAAATTAGTGCCTAAGATGGAGGTCCTATATGATACATATGCCCTTTGATGTATGCCCTTGGATTGTAAATAAATGCTACAATATCTCAACTAACAAATGATAAAAATAGTGTGATATAATATAGATAGTGCCATATTACATGTTTTACAGTAATTTATACAATATTTAACTATGTATTTTGTAAGCAATAGAAGTATGCTGTAAATAAATGGTATGTGCCTGAATTATATTTTATGTCTAATTTTTAATCAATGTGGCAGCAAAAATATGAGTGTGGAATTTTGAGAGCAATTGATTGATAAACATACCGATGTGTTCCTCAAAATCGCTTTTAATAGGCTATATGAAATACAATTTGAGATATCTGATCAATTAAATATTGAAGATCTTTAAGATGCATATATGGTCAATTCTATAAATGAAAAAGTTGGGGTCCGCGCATCATACCGAAACCCATTATACCGACGCGCATTATACCGAAACCAACAATACCGACGCGCATTATACCGAAACCCATTATACCAACGCGCATCATACCGAAACCCATTACGTGCATTATACCGAAACCCATTACACCGACGCGCATACCAAATGGCGTTATGCCGACGCACATTGTAAAGTTTTCCTGTGTATAACTATCTGCGTGTAAACTTAAGAATCAACCGTTACGCATTGAACTTTATTAATAGATGACGAAACATTTTTTGCTGATATAATTACATATGATATGAACGGGGATTTGAAATAGCGAGCCACGTGTACATCAAACCATTGGAAATCTTATTTAGTGTTCTTTAATCTCATTTATAACAAAATCGAATCAAATGTTCAGGAACTGGGAAATGAAGTGTTACGCACAGAACTTTAATAATAAATCACGAAATATCTTCGCAAGCTATCAACATTAAGCTTACGTACTATTGAAATTCATTGTATTCTTAAATCGATTTTGATCCAAACTAAGCTTAAAAAATAAATAAGTGACATATTTTTGCAGACTTACAACTTGCACATGAAGGTTTGACTTGGGCTGTGATTTTAGGCTGTTTGTAGTATTGAGTTTCCCTTCCTTGATGAAGCTTATACTAGATTAGTATTCTGTTGCTATTTCTTACCTGGTCTTCCTGATTAAACGTGCATGATTTTCAAATATACTTATCATACTCTTCTACTGTTATCATACATCTTCCATTACAAGCCTTTTTACATCACAAAATCATGGTGTCGGACTGTCGGTATACAGCAATGGTGTTCGATACAACGCGCACGGATTCAGTCGGTACAACGCCCCATCGGTATACTGTATTGGTTTTCAGTACAATGCGCGTCGGTACAATGCGCGTCGGTATCATGGTGACCCAAAAAAGTTGATGTCTACTGACCATTATCAAAGAATAGGATTGTTTAAAGAGGGATGTTGCAATAGCAGAGCACAATCAAAGATCCCGTGGATTTATTTGTTGAGGTGTACCACATATCCACACATAGCTCGGCAAGGCGTGTCCGATTTCAGCCAATCATATTGTAAGTTGTCATGGCGACAATCCATGATACTGACTGACACAAACAGACGGTGACAAGTTGACCTTTGCAAAAAATATTTTGCATTTGTGAAAAGAATTTAAGCCCAAATGCAAATGTGGAATGGCTATTCCTTTCAGGCATTGTTTCCTAAAATTAACACTCGATAATGGCGCATCTCGTAAATTTTGGAAAGTAACACTTTCAAGAAAAGGTCATTTACCTAAAAAACCAATGAGACTGGATACAATTGCCAAATACTTCTCTGATACGCGTGCCAGGTCTATAATTGCATTTTCTCATGGAAGGAACCAAGCAAAAATTATAGAAATAATTCTTTGTTAAGGTGATTTCTTCAAATTCAAATACTGAACCGCTTTTACGCACACGTGACCTTTTCTCCTTTTGCTCATTTCATTTATCCTAAAATTCAGTGAGCCTAAATACATTGCCTAATACTTCTTTAATACGTATTGGATCTAAAATTGCAGTTTAAAGAAATCGAACAATCATCATAAAAATAATTATGTGTAAAGGTGATGTTCTTCAGATTATATAAACATCAAAATTGTACTATAATTAATTTATTGAATGTTAAATATCCACATGCTTTTACGCACACATAACCTTTCCCTTTTTGTTCATTTTATCTATCTTAAAATCAGTGAACCTGAAGTCATTGCTAAATACTTTTTGATACGAGTCAGCTGCAGGTCTAAAATTGCATTTTATCTTGGAACAAACAGAGCAATCATTATGAAAATAATTCTGAGTAAAGGTGATGCTCGAAAGACAATATAGGTGTCAATTTGACTAATTCGGTTACTCAAAATGAAATATCATGTGGCACATGCTTTTACGCACACATGATAATTTTCTGAATGACGCTACTTTTTGGATTCAACCATGCGTAAAACGTAATAAAATACACATTTCTACCGAATTTATTAAGGGATTTTATTGGAACTGACTGATATTTGGTGAAATATCGTATTTTCTTTAACTTTTAAGCGATTCAGACATTTAAAAAATGATGTTTTAGCCTAATCAATGTTAATTTCGCACGAATGTAGGCCGATGGTACAAAATGAGTGAAAGTCTCACGTGTTTGATTGCATTTTAGGCTACTCCCGTTTATGTGCATTTTTCTAAAATTAAAATTAGATAGTTGGAGAGACGAGATCAGTAAAATTCTATCCGTCACTTTCATTTTCAAATGTTTAGATTTTAATGGTCCTCATAAAGATGGTAGCCAACGGACCAGAAACAAGTAGTGCGATGACGTCATATATCGCTACACCACTTTGATATACTGATACAGTTTGGTAAACAACAATGTTTTTGTTCAATGTGCCGTCCTACTGGTAAGGAATGAGTTAATCATATGATGTTTGAATGATTGTGCTGATTGCACAGGACAATCAGGTGGCAGTTGACAAATTCAAAACAAACAAGTATACCACAGGACAGTTGAAACAACACGGGTTTGTAGAAAAAACCGGGTACCGGGTAGTATATCCTCCATGTTGGGTTCAAACTTGGTACACAACATATACGGATCATAATTAGAAAACGTGTAAGATTTGTTTTGAATTTACAAAAATGTAATCTTCCTTCAAAATTGAGCTAGAAGCTTCAAATAAAAACCATTTTAAGGCTCTTTTCTTCCTCTACCATCATGGTCATATTTTCATTGGTTATGGGGGGAGGGGGTTGGAATTGCGATCGCACAATCGCACCCCCTCCTGCATATCCAGCAATCGTAATGTTAAATCGGACATCACCTTATCTCCTAACTGGTACTATTACGGAGATTTCGTGTCAACACTTTAGTCTACTAAATTAATGTTTAAAACTCATGTGAGCGTTAATGCAGGGGCATTTCATACAGCCTATAAACACAGATATTGGCCAGATCGTTTTGTAGTAGGATCTCATAGGCTCAAAGAATAATATTTATTGAGCTACTGATCCTACTATAAAAGAATCTGGCCGGGATCTATGCCTATAAACACCGCCCTTTCATCAAATGTGTTTTCTGGTTTCTTTAATTTCGCCAATTTCTTAAGAAATTGATGGATAATTATCAAATTTTGGTCCTACTCTCTATTGATTTATATGGTGTCCTAATTACAATTATTTTCCTTATTATTAATACACAATCAGGGCCACTAAGGGCCGGAAAGAAAGGGGACCATAATCCCCAGGGGACCATAATTTCTTTTACACCAAGTTTGAACCCAGCATGGAGGATTTGCTACCCAGTACCCGTTTTTTTCTACAAACCCGAATCAACACTGTAGCCTGGAATAGAATGTGTAATGTTAGTTTGAAATGATAGTTGCGCAAACATCTTTGGCAAACATAATGGGACATCCCAATCCAACTTAGTTTCTGAAACCCGTCCGACAAAATGACTGGTCCCGAGATAAATTTCCCATATAAATCTGACGTCAATACTCAAATCGAGGTTACTTTACTTTCCAAAATGGCGTCCATCATTTTTCGAAATGCTCGACTTGTTATCCAAAGAACCGCCCAAATAACATCAGTAAGATATTCAGGACATACTCCATCAGTCATTGACCCACAGGAGGGAAAAGTTGGTAAGTTGACAATAAATTCTGGATTAGATTAAAGGTCAAACTCGAATTGTTTTCACTTAGAAATTTTACTGGAAAAATCTCAAGGTCGTGCATTTTTGCACGCACACAAGAGAGCATAAGAACCGTACAGTTTGGAACAAAAATAATGACAGATGGATTTGCTGAAGTGAGGATTTCCGTTGTTAAAAATAAGCGAATTTTCAAGAGGTCATACATTAGTGGATGACAGTATAAAAATGTTTGTTTGTAGGCTAGAGCCCATTTCACTGTTTAACTGCGTCAGTAAAAGCTAAAATGAAGAAAGATCATATTCATAATTGATTTAAACGCAATTCTGCGCGTTTCCTGTCCTGTTGACTGTTGTGTCAGTCTGGGTCAAAATGTTACTACTCCTTGTTAACTGTTAAAAATAATAAGAACATAACTTCGACATATGAGTGTTACCTGATGAATGGGACCCTCACGTGCCTTCTAAATGGTAGTAAACGAACGCTAGTGTAACTACATCAGCTTATCTTTCCGTCCGATCAAGAATAAGTACAGTTATACAAGAAATGTAAACGAAGTGAAAATATTTCCAAAACTTTTCCGAAAGGCATGTCATTCCGGAAGTTATGATACGTTATGGTGTCACTACGGTAAATCATTGAAAAATATTGAAAAAATCACAAAATTCAAGTTCTGGTGTGAGGTTCCATATCCATCCGCCAAAAGGTATGACCCGATACAGTGCGCGAAATAGACGTCCGACATCGGCCATTGGCCTGACAAAATTATAGATGGCTTGTTTTGATAAAAACACCCAGACATTTTGGCCTGCTGAACATTTGTGGCATTCGTTAGATTGCCCATGAATAGAACTTACATATCAGTCCGGAAATCCTCCGAATTCCCTGCGTTTTCGGCTTATTTCATGACTTTTGTTGAAGATTGAAAAACATTTCAAAATATTTTTGTTTGGTACCGAAGCACAAGATATAACGTGACTTTCGATTGGCTGTTGTTGTTTGTTGAAATTACGGTGATTTTGATTGGCTATGAATGACTCATTTCTTAATTGTCGTTCGTAAATCGAGTGCATTATCAGTATGCCGGATGTAGGAAAGAAATTAAAAAATCTAGCCGGCATCTAAGTCGAAAAAGTCGGCAGTTTGGAAGTATTTTGGGACTTCGATATCACAAGGTAAACGAATTGGTGATAGTACACCATGCAGACTATGTGAAATGCCGATCACATTCGCGGCAGATGCTTTATATTTGATTTAATTGACGTATTTCTGAATGTGATTTTGAAAAGTGAAACTGAAAGTGAAAGTGAAACTGTCATCATCAGACGATTGTATCATTTTTAGTGTTCTGTCTGTCCCGTCCCGTCCCGAAAGTACCGTATCCCGAGACCATTTGTACCGATCCAAACCGTACCGAATTTTTTTGACCGTGACACCAATAATATATACCTTGAATTTTAGTGGAGTCTGTGTACATAATATGTGTTTTTGAATACCTTGAAGCTTCTGATTTCTGAGCAATTCTAAACCGACCAAAATCAGTACAATTTAGTTTGATCAATATGTACATGTTCCTCATGTTTTTGCAAGGTGAATCTAGGGGGGGGGGGATCAACACACTCAGGCTGTTGGTTAAGTCATCAAGTACAGTATAGTGAATGATACATGACATGCAATATGCAAATAGTTTTATCTTTGTTAATATTGTACTAAACTAAATCTCAATTTAGAGTGGTTGTGGAGAAATATGGTAAGTGAAATTTTTGGCCAGAGAAGGAAGAAACAGCCTGCCAAAAATTGGCCTGAGAAAAAATGATATGGCTTGTTAAAATCTGGCAGGCCTGCCAAAATGTCTAGGTTAAAAAAATCCTTATTTCATGCACTGCGATATAGTCCATTTAAAAATTTGTGGTTTTGTTCTAAATAACGCCATAGGTGGCTTCTAGGGTACCTAGTATGCCTCTATTTGGTATCAAAATAAAGAGGAGGAGTTCAACTTTCATTTGAATTACGAAAATAGCGATGCAGGTCAAAATAGTTCCGGCGTGAGCATGTTTACTACGCGTTTGCCCATCATCTCAGAATTGAGGAAATGGTAGCAAACGCGAGTTACAATAAATGGACGCTGATAATGATATCTCAAAAAGAATTAGCCCATACAATGACTATATTTTTGCAATCCCCTATACATAACCTTCATCTTGACACTATATTAACATAGGGTTTGTGTCTCGATTTTTAAATATCGCTACGCCAACATAGGGACTCATTTTTAGGTAAAAGCCCTGCTTCCCCGATGAAAATTAACGAATAAAGTAGTTCCTGTTTAGGGGACCATATTCTTGAGATTTTTTTGCTAAAAAGGGCACATTTAGAAAGTACTTGGCCTCAGCTTTACATACATACCTCAAATGGCCACAGTACATACACTTACACCTACTATACACACCACTGAAGTTGGCATTGCTTCGTTTTTAAAGTATTAATAAAAAACACTTCCTACCCGGAAGTGATATTTACCGTAATAACACCTTATATTACCGAACATGGGTTTAAATGGAATGTTTTTTTGATGGCATTATTACACCAAAAGTAGTGCGAAAATGGCCTTTTCACGGGTTGGCATAAAGTTTTGATGAAATTTAAAGAAACAGTTCCTCCTTCACGTATATTATCTCATGGAAATGGGCATACCAGCGCAAAGATCTTTGTTCCGTGGTGAAGAAAAGCTATCAAACATTGTCTGAAGAGCAGATTTATCTCCGTAATTCAACTTTTAGCATGGCGACCTTGACTTGACCTTGAAAAAAATATAGCCATTTGGGCGATAATAGGTGATTCAAAAGTAAAAAATAGTGCTTTTTCGAAGTTTTACTTTTACCATGTCAACTTGATTTTTCAAGGACATCCGATTGATAGTTGTTGGGCCAAGTTTGATGGAAAATGGGCCTTGTTTGATATGCTGGCAGTGAGGTTGATTGTGGCAAGTAGTAAAACGGCAAACAATGGTGGAGTCATACCCGATGCTTGGATGTTCGCATTTTATTTAGCTCTCGTAAAATGAACGAACAAAAGTTCCATTTTCACGCATGTTCGGTAATATAACGTATCATAACTTCCGGAATGACATGCCTTTCGGAAAAGTTTTGGAAATATTTTTACTTCGTTTACATTTCTTGTATAACTGTATTTATTGTTGATCGGACGGAAAGATAAGCTGATGTAGTTACACTAGCGTTCGTTTACTACCATTTAGAAGGCACGTGAGGGTCCCATTCATCAGGTAACACTCATATTCCGAAGTTATGTTCTTATTATTTTTAACAGTTAACAAGGAGTATAGTATTAATAACGAGTAACCCTTCTAATAAAGGCAATTAAATCAAGATTCGAAAACTCCCGAAAGTAACACTATCAGAGCTGTCAAGTGTCCCGCGAATGGCGGGATTATCCCGCGAATTTGATCAAAATTAGGCTAATTCGCGTGTCCCGCAATGTCCCGCGAAGTCCCGCAAATGTGGTTTTGACCTCCGCGAATTTCTCCGAAATTGTTGCAATCCCCTATATTGTGATTATCTTATCTTATATAAGAAGCCAAGTTTTTGCACTTTTGAGGAGTAAAGTTTACCTAATTTTAAGTACCTAGCATGCTGTTGTTTGGTATCAAAATAAAGAGGAAGGGTTCAACTTTCATTTTAATTACGAAAATAGGAATGTAGGTCAAAAATAGTTCTAACGTTGGCCTTTTTACTATCCGTGTGGCCTTCATCTCAGAACTGAGCAAATGTTAGCAAACGCGAGTTACAATAAATGGACGCTGATATCTAGAAAGGGTTTGTAGAAAAACCGGGTACCGGGTAGTAAATCCTCCATGCTGGGTTCAAACTTGGTACCCGGTACCCGGTCAAAAAACGGGTACCCAAAAAACGAAAAATACGAATATATAACATAATTACATGTAGATTATGAGAAAACGTGTAAGATTTGTTTTGAATTCACAAAAATGTATGTATCCTTCAAAATTGAGCTAGAAGCTTCAAATAAAAAGCATATTTCAGGCTCTTTTCTTCCTCTATCGTCATGGCCATATTTTCATTGGTTATGGGGGGGGGTGTGCTATCTCACCATCGCACCATCTCCTGGCTACGCCTATGACATTGTAAGGCATAACAATTTACAATTCAGTGGACATTTTGTCGAAAATTGGGATAACTTAAATTATGATTAATAATCAAAATCATGTAAATTTACACACGTCACCTCCCTGCTAAAGCAACGATAGCTATTTACAGATTTAAATCATAATCAAAACAATTCACGTACCAACAAACGAACTATTGAAAATAGAGTAAGATTGATTTGTCTTGTTTTTCAAATTGTCTTACAATGTCATTGGCGTAGCCAGGAGGGGGTGCGATCGCATCCCCCCCCCTTCATTACCAATGGAAACTGAGGCTCAGGTATACAATCATTAATAAAAAATCAGTAGTATTCTTATTCAATGTAAGTAATATAGTCTATTTATATACATGTATACACCACGCATTACCAACTCAGTACACTAGGGGACTTTTTAAACATTTTTAACGTATTCCTGGGCCTCAGAATGGAAATATGACCATGATGATAGAGGACGAAAAGAACCTTAAAATGCTTTTTATTTGAAGCTTCTAGCTCAATTTTGAAGGAAGTTACATACATTTTTGTAAATTCAAAACAAATCTTACACGTTTTCTAATGATCTAATTATGTTGTATATTCGTATATTTCGTTTTTTGGGTACCCGGTTTTTTCGACCGGGTACCAAGTTTGAACCCAGCATGGAGGATTTACTACCCGGTACCCGTTTTTTTCTACAAACCCTATCTAGAAAAGTAAACCCATTCCCTATAATTTGATGTAGATTAATCGAACCCCTATATCATTGGCTTTCAATTACCCAAATGCGAGTAAGTAGTTACCAGTTTCACCACCAGGTGGCTGATTCGGGTCAATTAACATGGCAGGTATATAAGAAAGTTCCCTTGAACTTGAATATTATCAATTTAAGTGGCTCATTTGTCATATAACCCTTATGTGTCTGATACTTATACTAATGAAAATATGTCCAGTAAAGCAAAATATTATCCGTCCCCTAAAAGAAAAGATATTTCATTTTTTGTGATTTTATAGCATGGGGTCTATGGGGAATCTCCCCGAGCTAGAAGTCACATTTTCAAAGAAAATTAATTTTTCAAAGTTGATAAACACTTTTTAAAACCACATTTCTAGATGTAGTTTTACATGTAGATTTAAAATATGATATTACTTTGACTGAATTTTGAATTTTTAATGACGTAAATCAAGATTATTTCTACTCGCATCTGGGTTATTGAAAGAAAATGCCTACAGTATATGAATAGGTACATTTTAATATATAACATTATGGGGGTAAGCGTTTCATAGTTGTTCACGACGCCAGAAATGCAAAGTATTGTTCCGAATTTTTGAATTTCGTGTTAGATTTCGGTACTCACACCTGAAGCATGGTTTTTGCTTTTGAAAAATTACAATAAAGTTTAATAATATTCCTATACGTATTTTGTGAAATTGTGTTGACGTTTATTTAAGTTACAATACAACGGCGCATTGTATTTGATTAATCAGTATTTGGAAGTTTGATTTAAGTACTTTTACACGCTTTTACATTAGTCCCAATCACGCAAATCCTTGAATGTCCCGGGACATCCTGCAAATTTAGGTGAATGTCCCGCGAAATCCCGCAAATTTAGGGCACTTTGTCTAAAAAATCTGTCCCTCTATCAAGTTTTTGGCGTTAAACCTGTTAACTATCCCGCAATTAGGGTGTTTGTCCCTCGAATGGTCCCGCGAAATCCCGCGAATTTGAGAAAAAAAGTTGGCCTATTAGCGCAATCACGCAAATCCCTTAAATGTCCCGCGAAATCCCGCGAATTTAGTAGATGTCCCGCAAAATCCCGCGAATTTTGGGCACTGGGTCTAAAAAATCTGTCCCGCGAGAAAATCTTTAGGGGTTGACAGTACTGCACTATGTCCGATAACATCGGATCTTTTAGGACAAAGTTTATGTGAAGATTTTGCTGTTCAAAAGTTCTATATTTTGACACTTAATATATTATACATATGACATACATTTACCGGCCCAAGTATGTCTTATGTATGGCTCATTATCAATTAAAGCGAGTATGAATGAGAAAAACAAATCGAAAACCATTATACATTTAACTTATTTCTTAATTTGGCCATAACAAATATATTTCAGCTATAATTCTAGGCCAATTCCGCCTGCTAGAACATCTTAGTAACGATTCCAACCATCCAAGGGAATTGATAGAGGTCCAATATTACCTTTATTGTCCATTTTCCTATGAGATGTAGTTAACCAAAGATTCGATAGTCGGTATATGCGTGTCTTGCTCGGCCGTAGGTTGTATATACACGGGTACACTTTCTCCTCGTGAAAAATGTTCCCAACACACAAATCCATTTTCACTGGTACTCACCTGGTACTCACCTAGTCTTCTGAATGTAAGAATTTGGGAACGTGAACCAAAAAGTCACGATATACGGTAAGGTATTGATCTGTGGTAATACCATTACCAGATTTCACTACCGTTTGGAACACTACTTGGTTGGCCATCAGAGAAATCGTAATTTTACTGAGTGGCTTCACAAAATAATAAAAATGCTGTACGCCTCTTTAAGGGATATGTATCTACAGTCGGAGACATTAATAAACCTCAACCATCATCACTATTTATAGTGAAATAAGATTTCTCCGATTTCCACCATTTTCCTGTAGACTAGGCTGCCATCTATATGTAAGCTTATTGAGACCACATAAAAACGGGACAACTTCTATTTTAAATGAAACCTTCAATATCTCAAGAAGACAATCCCTTACCATTTCAATTCATGAAATATTAACATGACAGTTTTTAGAATATTACTTAAATTTATTGAACCCCAGTTAGAAATTTTACAATACTTTGTGGTGACTCCAAAATCAAGGAAAAATAAATTTTCTGAAGATTTTATGTCTTGTCCTTGAGTATATTTAGACACCAAGAAGAGGTAATCTGGCAGAGGTCCGTGAGCTGAATCTAAAAAAAGGTTGACAAGCCCGATGAAGTTTTTTCAAAAACTCATTGCCGTCTTGGTACAGCGATATATTATATATTATATTATACCACTCTAAGTCCAATTACAGTTGTATAACATGGGTCTATAACAATGATATACAGTGGAGAGTGGTATATCGCCATCGTATACAACTCCTCCGTATACACTCCAGCGTATACCACTGTAGAAGTGCATTCTGGGAACTAATGAATAAAAAAATTTTGAAAATTTTCATGATTTCCTAGAATCAAGTGACGTCATAAATGGTTCCAGCATGATTTGCTAGAATCAAGCCACGTCATAAATGGTTCGAGATCAACATCAGTATTATTGAGTTGGCTATGGTATATTTTTATGGTTTTTATTATTAATTGTTATTATGATTGTGTTCGAATCAACTGTAATTGAACTTAGAGTGGCATAATAAGATTATATAATGGTTCATTCTGTATATCGTGCATTTTATACTCTCGTGAGAATATAATATATTCACTCGTTCGCTACGCTCACTTGTGAATATATCATATACTCACTCGAGTATAAACACGATGTGAGAAAGAACCATTATATAACCTCATATTATATGTCTCTGCTTGGTACCACCACGGGGGTTTGTATGGAAGATTGATTCGGGCAGAGCCCTCGTATGTCTTCAAATTGTTATCTTGTACATCTGCCTATTATAAGTTGCTGAGCCAGTCAAGCTTGTCCTCATCAAGGATGATGTTCTATTTTTGGTTTTATCAGAGACATGGGCTTTCAAGAGTTGAAAGGCCATGCCAGAAAGGATGATGTTCTATATTTCAACATTTCCCCTGACATCGTTGTTGATTCGTATTGACCAACATTAAAACATACTTGAACCATAATTCTTTCTACTCACTGTTTGATTGAGAACATGTCAGGTTATGAGTTGATTTATGTTGTCCCATGCTGAGAACTTGAAATAGCTTGAACCGTTTTTTGCAAAGGCTTTATCTGATTATGCTATAGACAATTATTTAAGAAATAACTCACACTATAAATATGCCTGTTTACTTCCAGCCACTGACAAGGTATCAATGGCTGACACTTTAGGGCAGTCTGTTGGGGCTGAACGTTATGAGCAGCTTATGAGACTAGCAGGAAATGAGGTAATTAATATAAAATTGATATCTTCATTGGAAAAATGCATGTTGATCAACTTCCTCAGAAGCAACCCTCTTTGGTTGCTTGACATTTCACAAATTCAAAAATGATCCGAATCTAAGTCTATTCAAAATGTTATTAATACTCATTAAAAATAGTCATAATAGATAACATAGAACTTTTTTTTTTATCAGACAACTGTCCAATAACGTGGTATGGAAGAGATTGGAATGATATATTTTTGGTTGAATTTGATATGCATTGTGTTACATAGGTCAGCAATAGTTTGAGAAGTTAACAATCATGAAAATTGAAGTCTCTATACAACTTTGATCACCCTGTGAGGGTGAGGTCTGTATTGAACTGAAGCCATATTTTTTTGTTTGGGTTCTTTGCCATTTACAGTGAGCAGTAGTGTGAAGCAGTAGTGTGACTTCATGAACCTACTCTTTTCAGTTTATCAATGAAATTTAAATTGTGCTATTTCTTGATACAATGCTGTAATGAATGCCTAGTATAGATCCACATGTGTACATGTAATGATAACACTAATCTTGTGGTTTCTGTTTGCTTTCCAGGATCCATTTGAGATGAATGTGATGCAGATGGGAAAGGGAACAAAATCAGAACCTACAGCAATTCCATCTTTGTACGAGAAAAGGCTCGTAGGATGTATATGTGAAGAAGATGCTGTTAGCATTAACTGGATGCATCTACACAAAGGGGAACCTAAACGCTGTGAATGTGGATACTGGTTCAAACTAGAGGCCAAGAAACCTGAAAAATTAGCTGTTGAACTGAAACAAGCACATCATTAAAAATATAGGACTTAGCCAATTGATAGACTATTTAATTTGATCGGGTTGATTTAAAAATGTGAATCTAAACAGTTTGAAGATGTATACGTAACCAGTGGTAACCAGTGGTAACCAGTGGTAACCAATGGTACTTGTTACTTCAAGTAGATAAATGTTGGATGATTGATAGAATCCTTTTTGTATCAATTCTGTGTATACATAATACAAAGCTTTTTTTCACCATTGTCTAAAACTGCCAAATATGTCAAATTGTGATTCCAAGCCATTACCTGAAATTGATTGAAAGTGACTTGAATTTGTGTACATTTGATATGTAATTTATGAAATCTATTTTGTGCCTACTCACTTTGAACCACTGCTTTCATGTAAACTAACCTGCATTTCAGTCATGGTTGAGGGTTCAACTGCAGTCATGTTAAAAATGGTTTACTGTTTGAAAGTACCATGTGTGCACCTTATATGTATTATTGACAGCATCACATGTTGAGAACTTGAACATTGAAATAAATGTATATCCAGGATATCTCTGTTACACAACTTGAAATAGAGTTTTTGTTTTATGATTAGAAAGTTCACTTCAATTAGAAAGGTTGTAACTTCTATAAATATATCCCATTGATGACAAACGAATATTGATTCAAAAAGAGAACAAATGCAGTTTTGAGGACTTCACCAGATTAATAGTTTCAGAATCCAGGGTAATCCAGTTGAGGTAGCTTGTGAATTCAATTCTTGTGTGTGATGGGGGATTTATGTCTGTGGATACTTAGTACATAGCTGTACACACACCATATCATATACCTACCAAGTTTACATCAGATAAAAGAGGGGTGGAGTAGACTGTTTGTTTTACAATATTTCCTAAAAAATCTAACAGTTCTGGATAATCATTTGATTTTAAACCTACAGATATTTATATTTTTCATTGTGGAATCTCTAAATGTGTATTGTGTTACACTTAAAGTGTCTGTTACTCTGGAAAATACACAAAAATGAGCTTTTTTTACGATTCAAACTATAAAACAGTAGAAACACTAATAAATGAGAAATTAATGCGCAGCGCAATATGCCTGTCCCAGCACAACCATTTAGACATAGTTTTATGTCACCACCACAAGTGGTACTGTATGTTTTGTATGTTAATGCCTTGTCCAGCTATGTACTAAGTATCCACAGATATAAATCCCCCATCACACACAAGAATTGAATTCACAAGCTACCTCAACAGGACCACACATAAACAGTGGTATCAAAATCTATCAAGTGCAGCTATGCTTCCGCCAGTGCAACCTCCACCAGTGCCCAACAGAGAACATTATTTAAAAGCCAAGGCACACAAAAGTCACTAGTAATGGTAATGGCCAAATCTAGAATATGCCAGTGCAGCAAGGGTCCCTTACGGCCAGAAGGTACAAAAGAGAGCAGCCAGATTTGTTACTAAAGCTAGCCGTACACCAATGGGACAATGTCCGTTTTGTCCCAACTTGTCCGCTCTTGTCCCCTGGACCTCATGGGACAATGTCCCATTTTGTCCGATGATGTCTGGAATATAGGGCCATTTTGTCTGAAAATGGTCATATGATCATCACGTGATGAAATGCCCTTCATTTGTCCAGTAATGTCCCAAGAAAAGAATCAACATGTTCATTCTTTTCTTGGGACATATATGGACAACTTTGGACAACTTGGGACAATGTTTCGGGGACAACAAGGGACAACGTGGGAGAATGTCTCCTGATGTCCCAACTAAGAATGTCCCATGGGAATGAACTTGTCCGAACTTGTCCCTTTATGTCCCATGAAAATAGTTAACTCAATAACTCCCTTGAATGCTTGATGTTCTATCATGTCCCACTGGTGTATGGCTAGCTTAAATGTCATTCTAGGGAGCCTACAATTGTGAGCGACATTTTGGAGAACTGAAAAAGTAGAAAGAATCTTGTAAAAATGGCAGCCATGGCTATTTGATGGGATTTGCTACACTTTGGCGTTGCTATTTAATTATCTAGTATTCTCTATATTAGAGGGGCTGACTTACTCCCGTGAATTTATACTGCCAGACTCATTCAAAGTGTGGACACAAGATCAACATTGTTTAAATTTATCTACTGGAAAAGGGGAATGAAAAAATGTCAAATTGCCAGGTAATTAGCCACCAGCTGTTCAGTTATTGAAAATCCTGCAACAGTGTCTTCCTATCGATCACGTGACTACACAAGGAGGCCATTTTTGTTTAGAAAAGTTGATTTAAATTTCAGTCTTATTTTATCTCAATATATCAAACTGGAGGACGCAAGTAGCCCACAACCCACAAATAACATGTCTCAGTATATCCAAGTAGCCGAGGATGAATCTGACGAACCAATGGAAATTCCCACTGAGGAGGACGGATCGATTTTATTGAGCACACTCAGTGCACAATTTCCAGCCGCTTGCGGACTGAAATACAGAAATCCAGAAACCGGCAACCTGAGAGGTTTGAGGATGGCTGATGGCAGAGTACATCCCCCAGACTCATATTGGGGAACAAACGTCTACTTTATCGTATATCCAAAAGGTTAGATCATGTCTACTTACCATTTACTGATTTACTCTAGATTTATCGTCTTATTCTTTTGCCTGTACTTACTGAACACACGGACCTCTGCCAGAAAAGCTCCTCTGTGTCTAGGCTCAATAAATATACTCAAGGATAAGACACGAGATCTTCGGAAAATTTATTTTTCCTTGATTTTGGAGTCAGTTTTTCAATAAATATCACATGTCATACCTCAAACGATGCGTACTGTTGTTACCTTCAACTCCAATCACTAAAGCCAAACATCCAAGAAAGCGTCTGTTGATAAAAGCAAAAAATAAGCGAGCGTATATTTAATGGAGCACTTCGGCTATCTCCGTTGTTCAAATGATTATTCCCGAAGTCAAATGCCTTTTCTGAGAATGTGACGCCACTCCGGATGACGTCACATCAGAGATTACCGAGAAGTCCCATGACGTTTCTTTAAACTCCCGTAGAAACAATTACGATGGTTTATTAGGCTACGCGATTCTTTACTTTCATTGGCTGTTTGTTGCGATGTGACGTAATTTGAGAGACGAACAACATCGGACACTGCCGGAAATTACCGAAGTGCTCCATTATCTTTACGCTCTGAAAATTTGAAATAAATGTCCCGGGAAAAGTCGAATTACAGCGTCAATAATGGATATCATGCAACCATTCAAACTAATACATAAAGAAGAGATTACATGGTAAATATTGATCAATCAATGTCTGACAGATGGAAAAAATAAAGGTCAGTACGAGGGTCATATTTTTGGGTGGTCATTTTTTTGATGTGCCATTTTTGGCTCGTGTCTCATCTTCCCATTTATCCATTGAGCCTACTACCAACAGGGGCTGGATCTGGCTCCGGATCTGTGACTGAACACACCTGGCTCAAAAGCCAGCTGACACACCGTTAGAATATACCGGCTTGTGAAGCGTTTTTCCCCAACTTCCAGCTGGTGCGCTGGCATAAGTAACGGTATTTAGGAAGATAATTGAATATTACTTGCCCCTTTTTTGATGCGTGGTGTCAACAAGTCCTATTTGTTGTGTAATTTGCAGTTAAATTGGAGAAATTTCTGTTCCGGCGCGCACCATCTTTTAATTTTGGCGCATGCGCTCATAAACTTCTCTTCATTGCAACGCCAACGGAACTTCCCAGAGCTGACTTCTGTCAGCTCGGTAGAGTAAGCCTGTACGATCACAACATGGGAGAATTTTCTACGCTTCTTACACTAAGATACCTATTTCAATAGATTTTCTTTTGCGAAAACACGATTTCGCGGCTATTAAATTTCGCGAATTTCACAAGTTTGAAATTCATCACTATTCCAGGAATTCTCGAGCTACCCGTGTGTAAATTAAGTTAGATGTACAGTAATTGGACTTACCTGATGTCATATTTGGATGAGATTTACAATAACTGGGATCTTTATCATCGGCAAGCTGCATATCAACCTCTATTGCATCGTCATTTTTAATATTAAAGCAAAAGTGCGAGCGAACTGTCGATTAAATTTTTTAGCAGCGCTTGAATTTCCATTCAGAAGTGCGTGTCGGGCTATGTTTGCCCTTTCTGCATTGTACACTTTATATGTTCCACGCTTGGACTTCATGTTATTTTTAGCAATTTGAACTTCAGTTTCTATAATATCGTCGATGTCATTATTAAGCCTAGGCCCATTGGTAGTAGTTGGCCTGACTAGCCAACGTAAAATAGACATGTTGGTGGAAATCATCCAATTGATCACCTAATAACACTAGACGAAACGTTTTACACAAAACGAAATGCATCAGAGCCCTGGGTAAAAACAAATTCCCGGGGATTTAATTGGCAATTTCGCGACGATAATTTTTCGCGATTTTAACACCCTCGCGAAAAGCGCGAAACTAAATTGCACGCGAATAATACCGGGCGTACAGTATTTAGTCCCTCGCTTTTGTTACGTTAACGATCTTCATGAATATTGCCAATGTGACAATATTCATGAAGATCGTCCACTTGCAAAAATTTTCAAAATAAGCCACAACAGAAATGATTGAAATCATGTACTGCAAAATATATTGTACTCAGAAGAAATGTTTTGTGATGCTTTTTGATTGGTTGATCAACTTGAATTCACGTGGTATCACTTGTGCCAAGACAAAAATATCACAGATATTGATCAAAATTAATGATTCTGCAAGTCAGTGCCTCAAAGTCACTTCTTCCCATGTTCCACAAAAGCAGAATTCTCTATATATTACTTGATACAGAATAAGCCCATTAAAAAAAACATTCACTAAAACATTCAAGTACAAGAATGATACAAATAATCTGATAATAGTTTTACAAAGCAAAGAATTTTTAACCTCTGACAAGCAGAATTCTTATGTCACCATGGCACTGCATGTGTTAGGGTCTCCAACTGTTTTGTGATGGCATCTGGCAGTCAGGCATCTGTAACAAATAGCATGTGGTGACATTTTGCCTTGTTGTTTCTGTGAAACATTATTTACGTAACTGCTTACCATCAAACTAGCTTCAGATTATTTTAAGACTCATAGTATTGATATTTCCATGTTGATTTTTGTAGCTGAGAATAAAAGAAAGGGAGAGGACTCATTGGAAAATCCAATGGCTAAAACAAAGCGCATTGATAGCAAGAAATGTACAGATTTGATCATCTTGGGACTACCTTGGAAGAGTACAGAAGAAGATATAAAAGATTACTTCAAGCAATTTGGAGAAGTTATTATGGTCCAGGTATGCTAATAATTTGTTTCAATATATCATGGTTATATAGGGAATGACTCCTTCTGTACGTATGTACATACGTCCATCCATCTGGGCAATAACTCATCATGAGCCCAATTTTGTTCATATTTTGTCATATTCATTCTAATAAATGCACAGTGCATCTCCCAAATTCTCTTAGAGGAGATGTCCAGAGATTACAAAATCCAGGGGATTTTTGAAAGACCGATGTATGGGCAATAATAGGGTATTCATGATTTTCCTCTTTATATGTTATTCTATGATTTTTACAATAACTGAAAAAGTAGTAGAAGGGTCTTCTCAAATATCTACTCAAAATATGGGACATTATTACATTAGATCTCAAATATAGTATTAATGTTTTGTGCCTTTGAAACTGCTAAATGGTAAAATTGGTGGACATTTTGATATCTTCAATGTCTGTCTTTATTATCTGCAAATCAAGGGTAGAGTAGATGGTAAATATTATATTGTGACATATACATCATTGGGATTTGCTACTTCGTGGAGTTGCTGATTTCTTAAGGACAGGGTGCATGTTGGAAATTTTCTGCATTCCTCAATTGAGTCACATGTTATTTTTCAAACATGAATAACTCCTTCCCCACATTGTCTACATCTTCCAAGTTTGCACAAAGAGTGCACCTTTGTGCCTAGAAAAGCCTTGTGAGAAGGTTTGTTTTGGAAAATGTATAAAAAATGAGAAAATTCAGTGAAAAAAAATTCTGAAAATTTTCTGATTTTTTTCACTGAATTTTCTTGTTTTTTATACACTTTATCAAAACATTCTTCTCACAAGTCTTTTCTAGGCACATAAGTGCACTCTTTGTGCAAAACTGGAATATAAAGACAATGAAGAGAAGGAGTGATTCTTGTTTGAAAAATAACATGTGACTCAATTGATGATTTGCGATCACCGAATGGATTCTGTCTTTTAGTGACGTCACAATTAGGTCACACAGCTTTAGATGCTTGATTTTGAGAGATTATCTTCTATATTTCGTGCTTTATTGATTTATTTTTCACGAAAGCGTTCTATTTGACTAGATCAACATTCATGCTAAGCACATACCAAGTCTAAGGTCTTACTGACATGATTTAGATAGCGGTTTAGCGCCCCCCGATTTTGACAAAAACGGGGGGCGCTTATAGGCATCGATGTTTAGTATGAATTTCACCCAAACTTCGCATATATGTAGACATACTCATGATCTAGTCAAATAGGCATACCTGGTAAATATCCGACCCATGGTTTTTATATAAGAAACGACAATATTTTTAGCTCAAAACTGCCACGTGTCCGCCATTTCGTGATTCCATCATGTCTAATATCATTTCTATATGACGTCATACCAATAAGACGAAATACGTGACAACAGTATCCATAAACAAAATTCCTGAATTCTGATCGCAAAAGGTCAATTGAGGAATGCAGAAAATTTCCCATCATGCACCCTGACCTTAATGAAAATTAAAACGTTTTTTCGATTGTCTCATCACCTTAGGTTAGTGATTTTGTATATAAAAATCCTATTGTATATTAAATATTCATGCTGGCTTTTCATTAACAACAACTTTTGAAAACACCACATTTATTTTCCAGGTAAAGAAAGACTTGAAGGGACAATCTAAAGGATTTGGTTTTGTGAGGTTTGCAAGTGTGGAGGCCCAGTACAAATGCATGTCACAGCGACATATGATTGATGGACGATGGTGTGATGTACGCATCCCCAACTCCAAGGTATATATCATTGATTGTGGAGGTTGAATAAACCAGCAACAAAATCTAGGGTTTTGTCAATAGAAACGAGGCATATTTTGCTGTAATAGAGCATGCAGGTCACAGTCAAAATTGGAATTGTGGCTCCTCGTGTGTTCTGAACCGGGGTTCAGAAGCAGGTAAAATCATACCAATGGTAGGTGTTGAATTGCAACATATATGAGTGTTTAAAATAGACTAATTTGCTTCAAAGGCAGACAGGTTAGTATGGAAATAACAAAATAAAGTGTACTTTAAGAGTACAGGGAAACAATGTTGTCAGTGTATTGATATTACCAGTTGCACAAAGAGCTACATTGAACCACTGACAATAGATCTTCATTTACGACATTGCAGCCCTGTTCCCTGAATCGTAATGCAATATGCAGTATAACAATAGAAGAGTATTTTTATGTTAACACCTTGGTGAGGAAACAACAGTGAATGCTTATTTTGATCCTGTTCAATAGACAAGTTTTTACTCTGTTGTAGTTTATTTTGAGAATAAAATCCAACTTTTTAAAATCAATTGATCCTGATGATGTTGAGCTACTCTCAGGTATTGAGAGTATGTTCCATTGTTAACACTTATTTCATTGAGTACATTATGTTGTTGATGGGATTATGTAAATGAGGTCAACAATCATTGCAGAACATTGTAAAACTCCTTTTAAAGGTCTTTTTATAAATCAGTCCATATTCTTCATAGCATATTGAAGTCAAGGGTATACACTTTCATTAATGACACAGGTAATGTTTTGGCTTGGACATAGAGCCTTTGGCTCAGTAATGTCTTCTTAGAAATACGATACAATAATAACCCTTAAAAATTGTTAACTACATTACAAATGATTGAATCACTTCATCGTCAACATGGACTTGAAGAGTTGTACTGAGAATCTTGTTGTAGTGTTTGATATTACCAGATTACATGCTCATGCTCAATTTTCTACATTCATTCATTGTCCTTTCCTTTCAACTTAATGCTTACCAACATCTGTTAGGTTCACACTGAGACTTACAATGAATGCTGTTGATTTGTCTGTCAGTGTGGGTAGCTCTCTAGAATATTGATGCGCTGTTGTGTTGTATATACATAAAATAATTGATATGATTTTTGTTTGTCTACAGGAAGGTAGTATGCAACAGAATTTGAACAGAAAGGTGTTTGTTGGGCGATGCACAGATGATATGACTGCCGATGATTTGCGTAGCTATTTTTCCAAGTATGGTGAGGTGTGTGATGTGTTTATATCCAAACCATTCCGTGGATTTGCATTTGTTACATTCACGGATGCAGACATTGCCCAGAGCTTGTGTGGGGATGATCATATAATTAATGGCACTAGTGTGCATATTAGCACTGCCTCTCCTAAGAACTTTGAGCAAAAACATCAACAAAACAAGCAAGGGAATTGGGGTAATCGTGGAGGTGGGCAAGGAAATATGGGTGGCAATAGTAATAATGGTCCGATGGTCGGTGCTAGTAATATGGGGAACATGGGTGGAAATATGGGTGGCAATATGGGGAACATGGGTGGAAATATGGGAAATTTGGGTGCGAATATGCCACCATTTAATTTGAACCCAGCAATGTTGGCTGCTGCCCAGGCTTGCCTGGCTGGTCAGGCTGGGTGGGGGCTCTTGGGGATGAACATGGGAGGTAACATGGGAGGAGCTAATATGGGAATGGGAGGAGGGGGAGGTAGTGGTAGTGGGGGAGATTCTGGGAATCAAGGAGCTGGAAATCAAACAAGTTTTGGGAGTAATATGGGGGGTAGTTCAGGTGGAGGGAGTAGTGGGGGTAGTAACAGTCAAGGGGGGTTTAACATGGGAGGCTGGAACTCTGGGGGCGACTCAAATGAGAGTAGCAACAACTCATGGGGTGGAAATAACTTGAATAAAGGGAGTTCAGGGGGTGGTGGAAGTGGAGGAGGGAGTGGATGGAATTAGACATCATGGGAATATAATATTCAAATTGAACATAATGACTTGAAACACGTGGAGAACTCAAGAGTGATAAAGCCAGAGTGATGTTTTTATGATTTTGTTGGTTCTAATACATGTGTGTATTAGAAAGATGAGAAGTGAACGCCATGTTGAAAGAGCCTGTAGCTTGTTGCAAGTTATGTATGAAAATATGTTTCTGTGTTTCCATCCTTCCTTATCATTCAGTAATCTCATGCAATTTCACACCAGAAGGATGAAGACTCTTGAATTAGAAAATATTTTTCATGACTTCAGTCTTTTAGTGATTGATTTTAAAATAGATGTGAGAAGGTGCTTCGAGTTGTTTTGAAGTGTGCAAAGAAATGCTGGATACATGTACTGTAAGATGTTGTATATATAAACTAAGTATATATTATAGAGAATATAATGTGTGTTGTTGATGTTGAGACATTATGACCGTTTGTGTTCAAACACTCATTCAGCAAGTGTGACTTTACATTAATGTAAATGTATGTTCAGAATGTGCTTCACATGTAAGACATGTGAAAAGTTTGTGTTTTGGTTGATAATGAGTTCTATAAATAAAAAATGATGAATGATGAAATATCTCTTTGTCATATTCATTGACGTGAAGCGAGTACTGTATTTAAGGTAATTTTCAACCCATTATAAAAAAATTAATAACACATCCAAATTACCAAGAGTACAGTTTAACAAACATTTAAGACATTACTAACAAATCATAATTTACTGCCTCTCATTCTATCTAACAGAATGACTGTATCTTGTGTTCAATCAAATCATTAGAGAGATTTCGCAACTCACTTATAGCAAGTTTATTATTCCCATATAATGTATAACATATGAAGAATTCGATGACATCATTTATTCCTCAGCTCTTTATGTATAAGTGTGATAATCTTACATATAGACGATGATTTACTAGAATATCACACATATGGACGTATAGAGCTGCGTAATAAATGATGACAAAATCCTATGCTTTATAAGTTATATGTTATACAGGAATAATAAACATGTAATAAGTGAGTTGCGAAATCTCTCTATTGTGTCATTATTAACTTAAATTCATGACCCTGTAACATGAATAACAACTCTTCAAATATTTGCAATGACATCTTAATATTTTCAATTATCAATGACAGTTGATTCTAGACATTGTGATGAACAATTTTTGGTTTTTATGAGGAAACTTTTATTTTTGCCATATAAACTTTTGTAATATATGTGTGGGTAATGTGAATTCATGAATTTTTATTTGGGGTGAAATTAGACTTTCCACAAGTCTCCTTTATTGAAAATTAGGTATATCATATGGGACTTGTGGTTTGTCAAGATTGGAATGGTTTGTTTATTAATGTGACTGTACAGTGTATGTGGAGGTATCATTTGTATTTGAAGAGTAAGTTGATGTTTTTTCACAAAATAAATGATTTTTGTTGGTTGATATTGATGTTAAAATAGATGTAACCCAGATATTATCACAGATTGGATATGTTAAATTCCTGAAATTAGCTTTTTAATAAAACTTGTATGATCGATATTGAAAGTTTGCATTTGACAGATAGTTGAAACTTGTACTTACAATGCAATACAATATAAGTAACTAGAATGGAATTGTGGAATCAGATTAGATTAAAAGAGATATGAAATGGAAATGTGGTTTGTATGGAATTTGAATGATTATATCATGTAAACTGTACATGGATCACTTTCATGGTGCAAATATCATATTTTTGTAAATACAATGTTTTCTATATATATATATAAAATGTCATTGTTTGTTAATTTTTTACCCCAGTAGTTGGAGAGTAGACCTTTACAATAGATCTTCTGAAATACATTTGGCTCACACAGTGATTGTTAATTTCAAGGTGCCACAATTTGAACTCTTAGTCTCCTACTCCTGTAATCCTCCGTGTGAGAGAAGAGTTATGCTTATATGATATCATAGAACTGCTCTGAAAATGACATTGATCTCGAGAGCATATTGAATATTCAAACATGACTATTCACGCCTTCTATAAACTGTGAAGAAAAGTCAATACTTCACCCAGTGTATATTCGTCAACATGCCACTGGTAATAAGAGTATTTTGTGATGTCATAACGTCACATTTGATATTTGAAAACTTTTGTTGAGTTTTTATGTGTGAATTGTAGTATAGCTCATTTACGTGTCCGGATGATAACCCAAATACTGATTGCCAGATTTAATTAAAACTTTATAGGCTTATACCTTATGGGTTTAGGACCTCTGCTCGAGAATGAATTTTCTATATGACATCTCAATTCGTGAAAAATGGCTTTGTATAAAAAACTCCTACCTCATATCCACCTACCCACGTACGTGGGACATGATACTGTCTTTGAAAGGTTCAATTTAAAGCCCTTAGTTTATCAAATCTTAGTTTAAGATGAATTATAGATGCATTTGTAACGACCCTTGATAGCAAGTTGCTACTACATCCCAGCTGGGTTCTGTCTATTGTAATTCCCGGTAATGAGTTAGATACGCTATAGATTGAGCATCACCCTCTTCATGAAAAGATTTTGGCTTTTCGTTTAGTGTATATTGATAATCTCAAAACCAGGAAGTAATAAAAAACACAATTTTACTCAATTTTTGCTTCATCATACTCTAATCACATACATATTCAACTATATTAATATATATTGTTACGTTTGATCTAATTCAAGGATTAAGAAATGGTTTATAATTTGAGTTCTATAAATAGAATTTGATTCAGAACCCCCTGGTATAAAACTTGTAACCCCCTGAATATCTGTTATACGCCCAGGAAGAAGCAAACGGTAGGTGACTTTCACTTCTGTTTACATTTATTTCTTGCATAATTTAGACATCTAAACTGTACAGTGAGTTGTATTTTTCTTAATTAACTTGTGTAAGGGGATCAGAAAGTGTGTGTGCATCAAAGAAATCAATGAATTATCTTTTTATCGGCCGATTAAAATCAAGATGGCCGACTGTCATTCATAAAATTTCAAATATTTTCAGGAAGTACGTTGATTATTGCAATTTTACAATCCAACCTTGCATATTTTCATGCTGTTTGAGAAAGTCATAAAATTGAACCTGTGTGTGCGAGCTATAGTGAGATATAAGACACTATCTATAAGAATATTTTCCTGCTAATTTTGGTGAGCTATTTGATTTGAGGAAGTGATAAGAACTTACTCACTTCGAGAGCCATGTTAGATTTTGAAACTTATGGCTCTCAAACGGAGAAGTGAACAGCTGATCAATAGTGACCTTTGAAATTGAATTAAGTCGATCCGCGGCTTACTTTTGGTCTCTAACTGTGTCTTACATCAGTATCATCAATCCGTGTAAGTATTGGAGCGCTGGAGTACTTCTTTTTCGATCAAGACTTGTAAATTGTTCATCGAGTTAAAGTTTTACAGACCTATTTCCAATATGGCGGTTTGCTAGGTGCGAGATACGCAACGAACGAAATGAATTTTGAGAATTAGTTAGGTTCGGACAACCTCCGGAGATTTACGAAAATGTCCGAGCAGAAACCGCCATATTGGAATTTGGCAGTAAAACGATTCACTCGACTAACGATTACAAGTCTTGATCGAAAAAGAAGTACTCCAGCGCTCCAATACTTACACGGATTGATGATACTGATGTAAGACACAGTTAGAGACCAAAAGTAAGCCGCGGATCGTCTTAATTCGATTTCAAAGGTCACGATCATTGAGCTGTCCAAATGCTCCGTGGGAAAGCTATTATATCAAAATCCAAATAGCTTTCGCAGGAAGTAAATAAGAACGTCTTCAAAAATCCAGTCTAACCATTTCATTTGCATTATCACATACTTATGTGGAACCATTTTCTCAATGTATTGAATGTACCATTGCTCAGCAATATTGTTCAAATTGAAATCACACCTTGCATCATTGACAGACTTGTCATTCTCTGATCCTACATTTAGGTTACTTCCTGCGAAAGCTTATCCTGTTCCCGGACTATGGTCCTGTACTGAGCCCATACATTTGCCTGTACGATTACAACTTGGGAGAATTATCTACGCCCCTTCCACTTAAGAAACCTACCTCAATGCATTCTAGAACTTAAAATGTTACTTCTAATATATTGGAACCGCCGATTGTCTGGGTTAGTTGGCAGAACGAGGTCTTTTTGTTTCTTATGGCTCTTTTGGTCGAAGTTCGATTAAGATGGCGGTTATAACGGAATTTCCCGAACTCTTCCGTAATAGCACGAACTTGGTTTTTCGTTACGTCACTTCCGTGTAAAATGGATTTGTTTCCGGTAAGAGGGAATTTCGAAAATTTCGGACAATATTTTCAATATTTACTGCCATGTCGACATCCTATGCTCTTAACTGTATACCGAATGGTTAAACAATGTTTCTTACCGGAAACAAATCCATTTTACTCGAAAGTGACGTAACGAAAAACCAAGTTCGTGCTATTACGGAAGAGTTCGGGAAATTCCGTTATAACCGCCATCTTAATCGAACTTCGACCAAAAGAGCCATAAGAAACAAAAAGACCTCGTTCTGCCAACTAACCCAGACAATCGGCGGTTCCAATATATTAGAAGTTACATTTTGAGTTCTAGAATGCACTGAGGTAGGTTTCTTAAGTGGAAGGGGCGTAGATAATTCTCCCAAGTTGTAATCGTACAGGCAAATGTATGGGCTCCGTACAGGACCATAGTCCTGGAACGGGATAAGCGAAAGCTATTTGGATTTTGATATAATAGCTTTCCCACGGAGCATTTGGACAGCTGAATGATTGTGACCTTTGAAATCGAATTAAGTCGAACCGCGGCTTACTTTTGGTCTCTAACTGTGTCTTACATCAGTATCATCAATCCGTGTTAGTATTAGAGCGCTGAAATACTTCTTTTTCGATCAAGACTTGTAAATTGTTCATCGAGTGAATGTTTTTTAGACTTTTTCCAATATAGCGGTTTGCTAGGAGCGAGATACGCAACGAACGAAATGAATTTTGAGAATTAGTTAGGTTCGGACAACCTCTGGAGATTTACGAAAATGTCCGAGCAGAAAACGCCATATTGGAATTTGGCAGTAAAAACATTCACTCAACTTACATTTACAAGTCTTGATCGAAAAGGAAGTACTTCAGCACTCCAATACTTACACGGACGATTGATGATACTGATGTAAGACACAGTTAGAGACCAAAAGTAAGCCACGGATCGACTTAATTCGATTTCAAAGGTCACTATTAGTCAGCTGTTCACTTCCCCGTTTGAGAGCCATAAGTTTCAAAATCTAACATTGCTCTCGAAGTGAGTAACATTTAGGTACCCTGCGTGCAGAGTCTACAGCCCATTTCACTGTTTTATTTCGTCAGTAGAACCCCCCAAAATAAGAAATCAGGAGACCATTGTGCAATAATTTATGTAAAAGTTTATTCATATTGTACATCCCTCTGCCTAGTATAGACTTTACTACAGTTTAGCAGCCCCACCCCCACGACCATGACAGCTTTGGTCAATAATTATTTCAAACCTACCACGCTAACCTTTTCTCAACCAATTAGCGAGGTGGAAGAAACACATGCTAAATGCATGCACAATAATTATGCGATTATGCCAGATACCATATATATAAAGTCGTCCTAATTCCTACGATGCACTCTGATTAGCTCGGTGAGTTCAGAGGTTTATTGATAACTGAAATAGTCAGCATTTGCGTTAACGTAAAAAACTTGCGTATTTACGCGGATTTTTGGCCCAGGACCCCGATATTTAAGCTCTATTGCTTCCCCAGGACGTAAATTTACTTGTCATGGATAATTTCAGAAACCCTTACCTTAATAATCGATGAAAAACTGAACGTAAATGGCACTAAAAACAAAAGATATATTCTGATTTTTTCCACTTCCGTGTTTGTAAATATAGTGATGACGCGCATGCGTTGAATAAACAATATTACCTCCCATGATTCCATTGATCACATGCTTAATTTGTAAGCCAATTAAACTGTCGATCTTGCAGAAATCATTCCCACAATTCATTCGCTACCGATCACCTTCCTCTTGGACAAAATGGCGAACTATCTTTCGATCAGTTGCACTAAGAAGCGCCATTTTCTTCATTTTCCAATTCGATTATCGCACATTATGATAACAAATGAATTCATTATGTATTGAATGAAACATTTCCTTAAAGTTTGTCTGCCTAAAAACAATTGAATCGGTAATAAATGATACATCAGTGTGGGTCTTAAGATTTTCAGTCACTCGACAAGTGGCAATCGGCTTATGTTTTCACACTCACCTTTTGAAAATCAATCCGACCCAGGGTCGCACTCTTGGACAAACCTACTGAAAGCAGTACCCCTGTACTATGCCTGGTATATCCTTTACTACTTATTTACTCTATTCTATTCACTATACATGTACTTATACTTTGATTTTAATTTTGTACTTTCAGAAAAATAAAGTAGGATGCAGACTATAAAGTGTGTAGTGGTAGGAGATGGTGCTGTGGGTAAAACATGCCTTCTCATATCCTATACAACAAACAAATTCCCATCAGAATATGTCCCCACTGTAAGTACAGTTCTTACTTATTTACTTACCATTTAAAAGTTTGTGAGACCCCCTAGTTGATTTCCTCACCCTGGAATATGCATTTCAAAATTCCCTCCTCCAGGGTCAAATTACTCTTGTCAAAGTCCCACTCCCTGGGACAACCTGCAAATTCAATTCTCGACCCTCCACTTGTGGTCTTCTACAAAGCTTTGAATGGTGCATGAGCATTCTCCAATCTTCTGAGAAGGGGCTCAAAGAAAAGAAAATATATCAAGAATTCTAGTCTATGGTAGTCCCAGTGTTCTTATTATTTTATTTTGAGTAGAAAACTTAAGGAAATACTGAGCAGTTGGCTTGATAGTGTTAAGTTAAAACAAACCAGGCCCATGGATTGATTAACAAAATCCTTCAGTTTCATTTTATCAGGCATCTGCTACTTTTGATCTATCAATAAAGTACTTACAGCTACAGCTATGATGAAATCCATTGAGGTCATATTGCCCTTATTTTAAAATATGAAACCTTTGTGTTACTAGATTAATGCTGAAGTTAAGTATCCAACTGGAGGTAGTCATTTTCTTCAGCCAGATTTTGTGTACCAGACAATTCTTTGAGAATAGAAATGCTAGGACTATAATGATATAGATGTAATATTGTTTCAGGTATTTGACAACTATGCTGTGACTGTAATGATCGGAGGAGAACCATACACATTAGGATTATTTGATACCGCAGGGCAAGAAGATTATGATAGATTACGACCCCTTAGTTATCCACAGACTGATGTCTTCCTGGTTTGTTTCTCAGTCGTTTCTCCATCATCATTCGAAAATGTAAAAGAAAAGGTAGGTTTGTGTAAAATGCAGTATTTGTTAATTTATTGTAAAGGTATTTTTACTTTATTCGAAAGATTTACTTTCATCTACCAAATGATTTGTAGCATGAGTGAAGGAATTAGCATAACAAGGAATCCCAATGTGCCATTTTGACTCATTCTCTACTACACCCCTTGAAAATAGCAAGAACACTACTTAAGATGAGAAATATTACAATGATGGATTATGACTGACAAAAAATATATTGAAATTTAGCTGTATTTGTTCATCATAAGTCTCTTTTAAATTGTAATAGATTAAGCTGTATTTGTTCATTATATTACCTCTCTGTTAAATTGTAGTTGTGTACATTATTTATTGTTTGGTACTTCAGTGGGTTCCAGAGATTACACATCATTGTCAGAAGACACCATTCCTTCTAGTTGGAACACAAGTTGATTTAAGAGATGACGCAGGTACTATAGAAAAACTAGCAAAAAACAAACAGAAACCAATAACAGGAGAACAAGGGGATAAACTAGCCAAGGAGCTACGAGCAGTTAAATATGTAGAATGTTCAGCTCTAACACAGGTAAGCATCCATGAAGTTTTATTTGAAAAATACAAATGCAAGCAACATGTACAATTGAGCTACCTATCTATTCCTTACAATCTCAAATACAATATATCCCAAAAGTTTCACAATATGTAATAAATTGGTGAAGTTATTATGGATTCAAAATACAAAAATGGGTGAAAAATGTAGTGACGTCACATTTAGAATTTTAGAAACCTTCCAAAAATAATATTGTTGGCGACAATCGAAGCAATTCAAAAAACCATCCTCGTAATGACACATTTATCTTGAGTATTTGTACATAAGATTTGCCCCATTTGTTAACCATACTTTCATTAAAGCTCAAAATCTTACAGTGTTCTAGAGCGATGTGCAGGTTTAACTGTAATGTGGAAACAGTTTCCAAAAAGTCCACCTAAAAAGATTAATTTAAGATGATTTCTTTTGAGGCCACTTTTTTACAAGATAATTTAAACTCTTGCTTCCATTTACTCAAATTGTATATGCTAAGGATTTGGTAGGCTGTTTTGAATAAGTATTCTGCATTTTTCCAAAAAGTTTTGCCAATGGTATACAAAAATTGAATTCAAAACCAAATATCAACTTTAAACTTCAGAAGTAATTCAAAGTCCTGCTATGTTGTTAATTGTTATAGCAAGAAACAATTTTTGTTAATACTCATCTCTTAGAAAGGTAAAAGATGATTCATGTCTGTGTATTGTTTTTTAGATATTTTTCATAATTTTCTGTTGTTTCAGTAAACATATGTTTATTTGTTTGTGTTTGCAGAAAGGTCTAAAGAATGTATTTGATGAAGCAATTTTAGCCGCATTAGAACCTCCAGAGCCACCAAAGAAGAAGAAATGTGTTCTCCTATAAAGTGACAGACACTTATACTATAATATACAACTTCGACCCCACATTAACATGGAACACACACACACACACAGGATAGACACTACATACACAACTCTGGCTGCAACACCAACTAATAGGTTTATGTGACAGTAAAAGTCTGCAACTTGGGAGTATGTCATATATGCTGGTTCGTGATACAGTATGATAAATATGACTGTGTGATACTTGGATGTTGTCAACCATTGAGCATCAAATGAATGCGAATGGATTATTGAAAACTTTATAGAAGCGAGGATCAACAATTTGACTGTCTGCAAATAATATAATAATGGATATCGATATAGACATGCCTTATCTGTTGGCTTAACCTTGACGTTAGTATCTAGAAGAATATGAGATTTATCCCATTTGTGTATTTGGATATATACCTGTTCTACACCTTGACTGATTGCATATCCCTAGCAGAATATCTGATGTTTGAATCTAAAGAAATCTTGAATGTATTGTCTAATCCTGATTTCTTATTTGGGAGATTAGATTGATGAAATCATCCTTGTCTGTTTGTCTCAGAGAGGAAGTTAGATTGTTCAGGGGTCAATTCTCATACATCTCACGGTTCAAGTGTTATAAAATTACGAAAACGAAATTAATTTTGTTCTCTTTGAATCTTGATTTGTCTTGGAATTTCCCTTGCAAGGATAGTGTATATAGACTGCTGGATTGATTTGCATGTGGAGTTTGGTGCAATCACTGTAATGTTTGAGTGGATTGGAATATTTGTACATATACATTTTTATTACAAGTCAAAAACACAAAAATAATTTTGTACAGTATGTATACATGTAGATAACTTCTTAGTTAGTTATGTAATGAGACTTAGGGCGTTACTAGGAAACCTAGATTATTTATCTAATCCCAACTCATGACATGTAAATTCCCCTTGCAAATACTTTATGAATTAATCTTAACGAACCTTTCTTATGTAGACTGATTTCCATACTATTCAACAGAGTGTGACTTTTAGCCAAGTTCATGCCATTTTTGAGTATTAATTATTACATTTTCCATATTTTTTTTTTGAAATAGAAGCAAGGACAAGAACTAGAGATTTATATTTTGGAAGTACAGGATCAGCTAATGTAGTTTTTACTGAATTACAATTCCTAAGTCAGTTTTGTAAAACATTAAATGTGACTTGAGTAAGATTAATATGGTGAGAATTCTCATACATACCACATACCCTCGAAATTTATTTAATTTTTATATCTCAAGATTTTCAAGTCAGTTTTTCGTGAAATTTCGCCCTGTTTTCGTGTAAAACAGATTATGACTTGAGAATTTTGTTTTGCATAAGTATAGTATATATGAAGTTAATATACTAGTGTTGAATCTGGTCTCTCAGTTTTGTGAATTGTTTCATTTATCAAATCCCTTTCCTCACCAAACTGGTTATAACTTTGAATCCATGGTCCCACTATGCCCTAGATATCCGTTTATATAGAGATATTTAGAGCGTAGGATACCCCATGGGCAATGTTAAGATCCATGTGTATTTTCGGAATTGTGATCATATGATATATAAAGTGCTTATAAGCAAACATGTATTTGTTGTGTAAGGAAAACATGATCCCAGCCAAAATTGTATTTTTAAAAACATGTATATTATATAATTTAGTAAAGCACACAAAGTTGGTTGGTTTCGTATCGTGAGAGATCGGGTTATGCTACATAATTACATGATAGTATGGTATTAAATGCATTTTGTATGTCTAACTTATATTATATGTCCAACAAAATGTCAGAAAAAAATATATAAACTATAAAAATAAAAAACAAATCTACAAATACTAAACAATTTTCTGTTGCAATGTGTATGTATCTTTTGACTAAAATGAGCTACGAAACAGCAAGAAAACTAAAGAAACCTCAAAGTTACCAATCGGGAAAAGCTACTTTTGACAATTCAGAAAAATTGTTTAAACCATAGGGTAATTGAATTGGGAATACACCAAAGAAATGGTCTATATGAAACCTCTATGTAAATAGAGTTACTGTTGATCACCCCTTGTTCTTGGTTTGATAGAGTAGACCAACCCCATGGTAGGCATGGTAGGATTGATGACTTTGGTGAGAAATATCCAAGATTCATGGCATTTTAAGGCAACTGCGAGGTAAAAAATAATAAAATGTATCTAAAGTCCTTTTAGTAGCCTAGCTACAAGCCTCTGTGACCCCCACCCCTCAATGTAACTGACAAAACACCTTCTCACACACATTTGTTGTGCAGGGGCTTGTAGCTAGACTAACAAATGTTACCATTAGTCACTGAGTTATGCCTGGGTCACATTTGCTGTGATTCATCGGCCAGTGCCTTGCTGATTGAGTATTCTGTTCAAAACTGAATACATTTGTCAACAGGATACTCAATCGGCCGGGCGCCGGCCAATGAATCGGAGCAAATTTGACCCAGGTATTATGAGACTTAGCAGTATAATAAAAGATATTATCTCTCAAAACACTCTGCGAATATGACAAGACCTTGTTTTCATTTTTGACAAACACATGCATGTTTAATTTATCTTACTTTATTGCTCTTAAATAATAACATTAATATTATTATTTTATTAATGGCAAAATCCTGCATGAGCAAGACCCTGACCTTAATTCTTACAGTATAACACCAGCTGTACATACAATGTATATATGTACATACAATGTATATATGTACATACAATGTATATTTACAAAACATTCATTCATGATTACAATTTGCATTTTGACTAATTTCATCTTTAGGTATTCCATTTTATGTACAATTTTGAGCTAAACTCCATGCTTGCACGTTATATTAGCGATTTTCTTGTTTCCTTTCTATAATACCATGGAACAATTGAACAAGAAAAAACATTCTTCTAGTTATCTTAATATATTATATCTTCTTATTTTTCAAAATGCATTTTTTAATGCTTTCTTTACATTAATAGTCTGTAAGCTGTGTAAAGTACTAAAAAATTAAATAATTTTCATTGATAAATAATATGAATTTTCAGATGATTGTATCCTGTTACCCGGATATTTGCTAAATTTTTTTGAACTTACAAGGGATGGTACCTTTTAGTTTTCAGTTAAAGTAAAATGAGAACATTAATCGACAAACTAGGATACTGAACATCACATATGTTTCAACGAGAATTATTTCATTTCTGAAGACAAACATTCATTGGACATACAGAACTATGACACTATAATAGCAGTGAAAAGTTATTTTTTCCAAAAGTAGAGAGATGCTGTCCCCAGCTAAAATTTCATTGCTTCAATTGTAAACTTGAGCAATCTCGACACTGACCAGTGTTCCCTTAGTATCAAATACTGGATTGTCCTGATAGTATTCAACATTTTATTAAATTATGTGTGTTTGATACAAGTTGTAATTATACAATTTGCAATGATGTGATTCAATGTCACCACCTGTTTGCAATTATAAAAGAGTAACAATATGTCACACATACAAAATGCTATCACTGATGCTGAATAATGTCGCAAAAACTAATGGGTAAAACATGTTACCCTTTTTGGTGGTGACATAAAAATGCAATGGTACTCTACAATGCGAGATAAATATCAGGATGTTAATACTGTAAAACATGTGACATCCCTTTTCATGAATGTATATTTTTTAGTGTCAATAGGTTCATGAAGAGACCATTTTTCAGAACTTTATTCATTCTTATCAATGGTTATTTGCCCTTAGGTTAATTTCTGAAATCCACCATCAGCTTTAGCATGAAGCTGAAACTGAAGCTACCATGTTTCCCATAATATAAACACACATGTTGCTGTTGTATGACACTTTTAATGTTCATGCAATGTAACATCTCAAATTGCACAAATAAGTTAAATTAATCCAATGTATAACACAAAGATTCAACTATTTCAAATATTTTGACATAATCTCTATCTTTGTGAATGTACCCATTGTTATTAAATAATTTTCATATTTTTAAAAATCTGTATGACGATGGCATGGTCCCCAAATCCTCCAATTTTGATGTTTTATGTACCAATACTTGAGAAATCACATTTCATCGTACAGTAACTTTGATGAGATTATGGGGATCTCTGCTAAGGTATCGGCTAAATGTTGAATGTCTCTATAAATGGGTGGGTCATTTCTTCCCATGGTGCTTGTCTTTGCTAAATGGTCCTAAGTTCTGATACAGTTCAGGGGGAATCCTGGAAAATGAACATTATTTTCATCACATAAAATCTGTGTATATGGAACACCTTCAGAACTGGCCAAAATTGTTTCTCCAAACTCAGGGCTACATATCTTATAGTCCTATAATATAAACTAGTGTTCTATTAAGAGAGTTTATTGCAAGTAAATGTGTTCTTTTGGGTTCTTTGTTCTTTTCAAAACTGTTCAATGGAGAGAGAGAGAGCTCATTATAACTCAATTAGACTTGATTCTTTTGGCAAAAATTCCATGGAGAGCAAGAGAGCTTAGTTAATGAGACTTGGTTCTTTTGAACTGTTCGATGTGGAGAGAGGGGGGCCATTATAAGCCAATGGGACTTGGTTCTTTTCAAATTGTATCATGATGAGAGAAATGTTCATTACAAATAAATGATTCTTTGAAAACATGTAGAGAAGTGTTCCTTAATAGAGAGTTGTTCCGACAGATGAGTTTTACTGTATCTTGGTGCTGTCTAAAAATATACGAGGGGTGATCCAAAAGTCTTGGACGCCCTGCTCTAATTTTGTTGGTTTTTGATAAAATTACTTTAAACTTTCCAATAATAAAGACCAACAACCTAACTACTTTGTGTATTGATTTCATGGTGAAATGATATATTTTATGTAGTTTTTTCGATAGTTATTAACATAGTGACCCTGCCACCCGGAACGGTATTCGCACATGGTAACTTTCAGCCTTAAATGTTGCCGCTATTTAACTTGTTTTGCAAGTCTTGACCACTATCTATCCTTAAATTTTGAATGTTAAACAATGTTAGTTTACTTCCTTTGTTACTAGACAACCAATTAATTGTGTTTTAATCATAATGTCATATATGGCAATGGCCGTTTATGTCAAGTTCTAAGAAAATGACATCAGACAATCAAACCTCATTTTGGTGTCATTTTTACGCCAAGATGGCTGCTGAAATTCTGAACATGAAATTGGAACAAAGAATACTACAATATATTTTTACTATTATTGACATTAAGCAGCCACCGTATGCACGATATAGTCTAGATATGGCTCAGTGTGATTTTCTTCCTTTTCTCCAAGTTGAAAGGAGGGTTGAAAGAAAATGTTTTTTACTCATTGGATGAGGTTTAGAGTGGCACTCCAGCAGCATTTGTATCACATAGGCAATGGCCGTTTCATAAATGTCTTTCATTCATTGGTAAAGCGGTTTGAAAAATGTGTTCAAAGTGGAAAATATGTTGAAAAGTAGGTCTTAATATGTGAAGATGATGATGGCAGATGACACTCAGACTGAAAATCGGAAATTCTATCATATCATGACTGGTGTTAGGTTGTGCACCTGCACCTAAAGTATTTGCCATATTATAACAGTTGTGACGTGATTTGCTATATTTAAATACCGTTCCGGGTGGCAGGAACCCGGTATCAAAAAATGTTTAGAAAAGTAGCTAAAATATATTAGTTTCTGTTGAAACTTATACACATAGTTGTTAAGATGTTGATCTTTATTATCTGAAAGTTTCATGTAATTATATGAGAAAATAGCAAAGTTAGAGCGGGGCGTCCAAGACTTTTGGATCACCCCTCGTATGATATAACAAAAATATAAATGAATTAAACTCACTTTGGTAACTCTTTGTGTTTATGCCTGGGTGGGGCCAGTGGGATAGGAGATGAGAGAGCTGGTAGGGAGTTAGGGGGGTCTCCACACCCTAAGGCTTCTGCTGCACATTTTATATTGGTATAATCACGTCCAGTTTTCTGACTATTCTGAAAAAACAAAGCCATATATAAATTAGATCGGTATGTCATTGAAAAGATAACCAGTAGTTCTAAAATTAAAAATGGGTTGCCTAACGAAACCATAATTTAGTCAGTAAAAGGCATATATCATAAGTATTTGCTCACATTTATTTATTTTATTATATTTGCTCACAACATTTATTTATTAATTTTATTACAAGATATTCATTTAGAGCTCAGTGTAATAGCTTAGTGACAACTGCAGGTAATATTGAAGCAAGGCACCATGTTTCCAGATGCCCTAATGGTGAATGACATGGACATAGTAAGGCCTTTTAAAGTTAATCAAGTGTTTAATGACCCATTGAGGAGCTAAATCTTAGGGATGGGATGGCCTAAGAGAGAGCCTACCTGTTTAGCCTGTAGCCGTTGAGATACTGTGTCTATGTAATGCTGAACTGCCATGTAAACAAACTTGTACTGTGCCTCTGTCTGTACCATACCAGATCTCTGAGACCTCACCAACTGAATTGTTTTTTGGATATCTATCTCACAATCTAAGCCTGAAATTGATACACAATCTAGTATTTACTTAAATCCTATGTTTTAGAAGCTACAACAATGCCATGAACATGTCAGCACATTTGAATATATATCCTATGTTTTAGAAGCTACAACAATGCCATGAACATGTCAGCACATTTGAATATATAGTGTTCTTAACCAGTTTTCTCTTAAGACTTTCTCTTAAGGCAAATAATTTTTATAGCAGTTCTGTCTATGAGACCTTCAACAGCACTCAAAATATTTTAATTCTAATATCTTGTGAAACAATTTTTCAAATTCATAAACATTTAACATTGAAAAATTTTGACCAACTTTTTTCAAAGTATATAACTGACATTACATGGGGTCGTGTGGTCACTGATGCTTAATTACTCGAAATCTGTCACTACTCTCATAACCTACCTTGCCTGGTTATTTGATTAAGTATAATGTCTATGACTATAAATGTTCCTGTACGACCAATGCCAGCACTGGAATAAACAAAACAAGTTTCAAAAGTAAATATCAATGTATTGAAGAGCACAACAATATTTAAGAAAATGGGTCTGAACATTTTTTCAAAAGGTCTCATTGATGGTTTTGAAATGGTACACTAACCATTCAATTGCTGCATTAAGGTTAACTCTACACTTTATATGGTGATAGATTGAAGTGAGGTTTACAGTATCATTGCTCCAGGTTATCAAAAGCAAAGGAATTGGACTGTAAATATGTCAAATACAAGATGGCAGTCAGGCCATGGACCTTTTAGAATATATTGCTTTAACTACCTTTTAGAATATATTGCTTTAACTACCTTTTAGAATATATTGCTTTAACTACCTCTTAGAATATATTGCTTTAACTACCTTTTAGAATATATTGCTTTAACTACCTTTTAGAATATATTGCTTTAACTACCTCTTAGAATATATTGCTTTAACTACCTTTTAGAATATATTGCTTTAACTACCTTTTAAAATATATTGCTTTAACTACCTTTTGGAATATGATGTTTTAACTTGTTTAATGATACACACAATTACTTTTTAACCATAAATGACTGCCACTAACCTGCAATGTACTAGGGTAGTTCTATATAAGGTAGAAGGAGATGGAGCCTCCTGTATAAGCGATTCCTGTCTTTTGTTGACATCATGAAGGAAATTGAGCACACACCCAGGGTCATTTGGTACACCATGGTCAGGCCAGACTTTAAAGTGGTACTGAAAGACTTTATGGTATTCCTCTTTTGAGTCCTGTGAATAAATGAGAGGGATTTTATAATTAGAGACATTATAGTTTCTGTAATTGATGATTGTATATGCTATAATCTCATCTGAAATGTTATGTCAGGTTGTATTAAAAATACGATAACCTGAATATGTGCAGCGTTAAATTAGATTTGTAATCAAATTAAAACCAGGGTAAGTGGAACACATTTTGAACCTCAAAACAGCATTTCAGTTTATTGGAGGTGATCCACTTTCAGATATTCATTATATTTGAAGTTTACAGATAACAGAACTTGAAAATGTTTTTCACTTTTGAAAGTGTTCCATTTAACAGGGATTTACTGTACACATATAGATGCAAAAGCGATGCTATGATATAGTGCATTACTTCTGGGACAACCCTCGTATATCTAAGTTTGTACACTCACCGAGTCATCATTCCGCTTAGCTGAAACGATAAACTCTCGTAATGTGTAATCTGATGTTGTCGTCTCTTGAATATTTTTCACCACAATATTCAATGTGTGGGATTTGATTTCTTTGGTTGCTTCACATTCTGGCCAATACCTTGCACATTTATTCTGAAAAACAATAAATCTCACGCTCAGCTCACAGTGTATGCCTCTTAGACTACAATGAATCATTGGTTATTGGATTGGAAATACTTTGAATGGCTGATTTGCAATAGATTTAAACACTTATATAGTGCTGGCACTTATAAGTTCTTACCTTTCCACGTTCCACTTCTTTGGTTGTCATGACGATAACTCCAACGTTTTCTTGCCAGACCATTCTCCAAAAGTCACTTATAGTGTTTGGCATACAACCCTGGGTGGCCAGGTATTTTTTATGATCTGCCTCAGGAAAAATTGCACCAGGCTCATCTTCCCCCTGCAGATAAATGTGTCTAATGTAAATGTGTTTTGTTTCTCATAAAATTACTGATCTCATAATGCATGTACTGCAGATTGAATTAACATTGAAGTAAAACATGCAAAATCTAATAATTCTGCTGCCTTATAAATAAATTGTTTAGTAATCAAATGTAAATGAGCTATGGTCAAATATCATTCACAATCTAAATAAAGCACAAATTGTGGTCAAAATAAAAGTTCTTACATCAATATGATTGGCATTTATGTAGTCTGATCCAACGACATCTGGATCTCCATCTTTTAGCATAACCCTGGTATGGTCAACTGAAAATGCAGATGTACATATACTCATACTGAAAATAACTTTCCCTGGCTAAAGAAACAATGTTTCAGACTCTAAATACAACAAAGTCACTCAGAAACATTTACAGCAAAGAATAACAGTTTATAGTATTGATTCAAAATTCTTAACAGAATGATTGGGAAATCTCAATTCTCAGCAGGAACGAAATCAGATTAGGCACAGCATTAATGTATTGAACTACTTACAAGGTAATATATTTTATATCTATTTTTGGCTTTATTTTCTGGTCTATTGCCCTCTTTTCTGCTATAGAGATGTTTACACTCTTGTTGTTGCAGTTGCTAGAAATATAAAACATCACAATATACCATAACAACTAAAAATATTTTGTTCAGAATTAAATCACTTTTGTCTTTATTCCTCAAACAATATCAAGTTGTACCTCTTCTGTATACTGCATGTTTCCTACCATTGTCCACACCCTGAACATTGCATGAACACAACCCGTCACTCTTTATGAAAAAGGCTTGGGGATATCTTGCAAGTTTCTACATTTTGTTTTCATTTTATCATGAAACAAAAATTAACAAAATCATATTTCACCAGCTAATTTAAACAAAATCCTATCAATATTCGACTGTATATTGTAGTTCATTACCTCAAATTCTTCCCAGAAGCCAGCCTTTCCACTGGTGGTTGTGCCTGCCTTGTGTTCTTTCTGTAGTTCTTTTACTCTGTTCTCTATACCAGATGCATTGATACGTGTTGCATTGAAAGGCTGAAACATGTAAGTACATAGAATATTAATAACAAAATTCATAAAACACAAGATGAAATGTTTTAAATTCTTTTGTTCTAATATGTCTGGCAATGATTGGCTCTGACACGTAAGTACATACCAATTCACAAACCAACAACTTTAATTGAAACACATACTTCTGTATAATACTAACATGTAGCAAAATACAAACATGACAGGATATTATAAGCACAGTATGAGGGGACTAGCCTAGCCCCTAAAAGAAAAGATCTTGATCCTACATTTTAAAGGATAATAGTTTTGGGTATGACAATCCTTGTAAACAGGTGTTAAAGGACCAAATCCCCACCATGCATGTGGGGAACCCGATCCTCTAATTTTTTACCACCATACATGTGGGAACCCGATCCTGTAATTTATTACCACCATGCATGTGCGGAACCCGATCCTCTAATTTTTTACCACCATACATGTGAGGAAACCAGTCCTCTTATTATGAAGTGTACAATAACTGATGAGAATTTCTCACCTGTTTTAAATGTACCACAGTACCAGATGTCTCCACCATGGGGTTCTTCTTATAATGTTCAACCAGGTCTGATAAACTGTCAAATTGTTCTCCTCCAGTTAAATCAAATCTCCCATCCTAGAAAACATATACAAAAATACATAAGTTAAAAAAGTATATATATAAGTATGACTGATTTTTTAAGGGCCATAAACTGATTTAGATAAATAAAGGCCAATATATGACTGTCAATATATATGTCATTATAAGTCAATATACTTAAGTAGTTATTTTAGAATATGAGGTCCAGCTTGGTTGTTATGCCACAGAAATTTGGACCCATAAACTCAGCAGTTATTCTAAAATTGCATAAACTATATTGCATATTACAAATAAAGAACTATATGAGCTGTTTTTCTTAGAAGTGGCTAAATTTCACATACTCAACAAACATTTCCCTACCCCATAGTCATCGATCAAACAATATGTAGTCTCTAAGCATTTGAATGAGAAACATTTATGACTTATTAATATCCTAAAGTGTATCACGTTAAATAAACAAGGCCGCTGTAAGTAAGTAATAATTCACCTCAGGAAAATGCCCTTCTACGTGTATTTATTGAAAAGTACAGTCAGCAACACATATATAGATAAAGCTAATATATGCATGGCAGAATACCTTGTGGTAAAACATTAAGTCTTATAGGGTATTGTGACATTTGTACTCATTCATCTAATAGTGCATATACATTTTAACTTCCTTGTGTATTTTTATCACACAATTTATATGCTCACATGTTTTTTTGTAAATTCTTTTTTTTATGGGACCATGTACAATTAATGCAAGTTTGGCCTTCATGTTTTTAATATAATTTTAGTATATTTAATAGAGTTCCAGAATCTGATACTATATATATATAGTATATCTATCTAACTAAGATTTTGTGATCAGTTGTTCCTGATATGTGAACAGTATCCTCTTTTTATCTTTTATATTCCAGCTCTGGTGTCTTACCACTCTTTCACTGACACTCTGTGGTACTGGGAATTTTGGACATATGTGAACATGAAACCAGTAAGCAAGTACACAAGGTCCCTTGGGAAGATTACTTGATCTTGTGTAATTCTCTGCCCCCCTCAATCATCTACCTACTTCTTTTTATCCCGAGAATGTTATGTAATGCTTTGTTTTATCTTACATGATGCACATAAGAGAATGATGTGAAACAAAAAACACCTACCTGCTGGCATCGTATCATTACATGTGTAACCTTATCCTCAGTTCTTACAGAAAGAACAAAACCTCCAGGCTGACTTTGGCTCTCACGTACAAGATAGCTGCCATTTTTGCCTCGTTCCTGAAGCGACTTTTCCGCCTCTTTTCCAGATATATGTCCATGGAACCACCTTGAAACCACACCAATCATATTACATGTATGTATTTTCCAAAAGTTGTAAGGCAACCATGTTAAGTATATTTCATAATATGATTTTATTTATCTTTAAGAATTCATGGCCAAAATCTTAATATGTAGGTATAAATAGATCAATAGCTTATATTTAATAGCTTGTAGCTAAGTACATTTAACCTCTACTTGCATACATAAATGCAAACATGTACAATACAATTAAATCATATGTTTAACAAAAGTAGATGAACATCATGAAAGTCACCCCCACCACCCACCCAGTTGTGGGTAAAGCTGTTACGCTGTAGTGGGCTGGTAAGCCCCAAATATACTTTCCAAAATGGTAGTTATCCCTTTTTTTAGAAAATGTTTAGTCATACATAATTAGCAACTTTGTCAAAAGTTTGGTCAAAGTTAATCATGTTTTTCAATGTTTTGGTCAAAATCTCACCATTCTGATAACAGATATGATAGTCTTGTTATTGTCATAATTAGTAAAAAATAATCAAAAAGTTTGGGTCATTCTACCAATAAGATTGATTTATCCTATGCCAAGTAGAGTTTTAGGGAGATAAGTTGGCAAGATATATCCCGTATCCTGATTTTGAGGTTTCCATATCCAGAACCTCCATATCCCCTGCCATATCTTCCGCTTCGGTGCATATTTCCCCGCTTCACTGAAAACTCTACTTGGTATAGGATAAAGCAGTTATGTACGGTCGGTTTGGATATGGGGTTCATCCCTCGTGAGATATGCACATCTACCTTTGGTCCCTACGGTCCCTCAGGTAGATATGCATATCTCCCTCTGGATAAACCCCATATCCAAAACCTCCCAGTACATAACCCTTATTCATTCAATATAAAACAGTATTTTTATACTGTTTTTGGTTATAAGTTTGGCCCAAGGGCAATAATACAAATACAATCCTTTATAATATGCAAAAATTGTTTGTAACAATAAACAAATCATTGAATCCAAATGGCCTTAAATAATTCAGCGTTCTTCACACGATGATATATTGATATAAGGGTTTGACCCTGGGTTATTGTCTACATGTGTAATTGACCCCTCCTTTATACTTGGCAACACATTTAGCCTTCGAGGTCAATTTTTTTCTTAAATCAAAAAATGCGGTACAAATGTAAGTATCACTCTGCATGTAACTATTCCATAACTGTACATGTGAATATGTTTGGCGTGTCACAGTTGCATTTTCTCATGAAGAAATAAAATATTTGCTTTGAAAGCAAAAAGGAAATGTTGCACACATAATTTCCATACAATTCAAAAGAAAGAAAATTTAACTGTTTAATTTATGCATATTGGACTGGCAGTAATAATGTCACATATGTGTGAATTAATTTCAAAATGCAATCAAATTAAATTTTGAACGATATTTTGAAATATGCATTTTTCAAAAAATAGAATTTTGCAAAATATTTTAAATAAGTGAAAATGACATTAACAAGAAGGATATTAAGGAATCATTTAATACTGTATCAATGATTTATCTATTTCCATAAAATGGGATTTTGTAATCCTGAGTATCAAAGCCTATTACAGTGGTAAAGATTAAAAGGTGGATTGGATCGAGGGGATTGGATTCATGTAAAAGGTGGATTGGATCGAGAATCTTCAAAATATAGAATTACTTAAGATTTTTTTCTATTGATCTCCCTGTCAGATTTGTGCTCTGCTCCTGTCCACAATGTCAAATAACAGATGTAATATTATTTTGCTTGGGTGGACTAGAAGAGTGAGTGACCTGGTTCCCACTTTCTGATAACAAATAATCTTATTAATTTCAGGGTGATTTAAGGCAATTCATAAATCATAAGGCAGACTGCTTTGAAGAGCCATATCATTTGTTTTCAATCCAAAAAGAACATCTAGTAGATGGGAACATCAACACATCAATTTGAATGACAGATTTTATCAACACAGATCTATTTATTATCTTTAGAAAGTAGATCTACGAGGGAAAGCAGTTGAATCCTTGTAGTATCCACCAACTAATTATATTGTATTTGTTGTTGTTTTGTTCTGATTCCCCAAAGAGACCCAAGTAATCACAAAATACTTTGAAAATGGAAATTTTGCTGAGAGGAAGATCAACAGAAAAAATCTTTAAAAAAAATTCCATATTTTGAAGATTCCTGATCCAATCCACCTTTTACATGAATCCAATCCACTCGATCCAATCCACCTTTTAATCTTTACCATTACAGTAGGCTCAGAAGAGGAGAAATCAATATAAAGTTTTGTTGCTGATAAGGTCTAAATGACATCATAAGTAACTGTCATGACCTAAATGAGAATTTCATCACTAAATGAATGGCTGGTATTTATAAAAGCACAAAGTTCAGTGAATGGTATTTTGAGTGGGTAGCTGGATTTATATAATATATTTTTCGACTATATTCTCAGTATTCTGGTTGGTTAAGCTAAATGAAAGGATTACCTCTACCTCAAAGATGCTAACGAAGTTATCTTTGAAAGAACAAAAATCAAGCTATTTGAAAAAATCTCCACATTCCTCATTACTTCAGTATTATTACCTTTCAGTGGTAGGATCCGCTGAGTTAAGTGGGTATTTAAGTTCTATAATCTCCCCTCTCTTCTCCTTTAACTGGCCCTGGTTTTCAGTGTAATGCTGCACCAACTCAGCTAGAGTAGCAAACTTCTCTCCTCCATACAGGTCATAGAAGTCACCAGTGTTCTGGATCTTTATGTGAGTTACTTCAACCTTACGCCTGTAACAATTACAAAAGGTTTGTTAAGTCTTTTTGGAGAAAAAATAGATTCATAAAAGTTTCTAAGGGCTTTGAAAGCCCATGATGTTACATAAAATGGACATAAAATATTTCATTGAACTATTTTTAGAACCAAAGTTGTCAAAAGTGAACCCCTTGGAATTTTCCAATGGGGGTTGGGAAAGCCTGGCTACGGGCCTGCATATGTCTTTTAGGTTAAGAAGTTTCAATAAACAGTATACTGATACATTTGACAAGGTAAAGATAATGTTGATGCTATTCACATTTTTTCTGTATTGCAATGACTAAACTAAACTTTGAAGAATGAGATATTTCATAATTTTCCAGTTTGCCATGGTGAGCAAGATGCATAATTTAATATTTATAGTTCAAATTAAGAATCTGATGACAAGCACTTTTATTTAGTCAACAAGAGAATAAAAGTTTACCTGACGGACAAAGTAAAATCTCCAGGATTACTTTTGCTAGGTCTTGCCAGGAAGCTGCCATCAAATCCCTTCTCCAACAGAAGTTTCTCTGCCTCTAAGCCAGTAATGTTAGGATGGAACCATCTGAAGCAAACAAAAGTATCTGATACAACATGTACATTGTATAGTTTACAGTCTTGGTGTAAAGACATTGCTGCACCATATTACAAATTATCATTGAGCCTTGAGGTAATTTTCCACGGTGTATTTATGTCTTCAAATCTCTGAAAATGAGAAATTTTACAAGTAAATTTTCTATTAATTACAATACAAACCTATTCCATGACATATGCTAATACCCCTAATTTGGAAAAATGGGCAAGTCCAAAAACAACAGGATAACCTGAATCCTTCTAGGTCAACTGACCTAACACCCCTTTATATGCTATAACTTCATAATTGTACGCAGTAAAACTTAAAAATACTGCGGGGAGGCCGGGTGGGCCTATGGTCATGGAATAGGTTTGTATTGTAATTAATAGAAAATTTACTTGTAAAATTTCTCAATTACATACAATCCAACCTATTCCATGACATATGCTGAATCAAAAGTAAAGGAGGTGGGATCCCGATTAAGCCAAAAGTATAATAAATAAATATACACAAGTACTTATAATAAAAAGTAAATTCATATTACCAAAAAGTACTCTGATCTCACAAACCATAGTGATCCCTAGTAGAACAGCCACCGTCATCCATTGTAGGGCAGAGGCTGTGACACATCTGTATAACTGTTATTGTCCTATCATAGTGAGCAGTCTTAGCCATCTAAGGGTAATGACAAACTCCTATGAATAGAGACTGGTTAACCAAGAATGGGCCGTTTAACCAAACGAGGCAACCTTGCAGTTCTTCAAGGGTCCAGGTCACAAGCTAGTTGAGTTGAACCCTTCTGCAAAACAGTTCAGCTACACATCTGGGAGACTGTATGTCCTTTCACAGTGAGTATCCTTACCCATCTAAGGGTTGCGAATAACTCCTATGAACAGAACTGGTTAGCCAAGGATGGGCCGTTTAACCAAACGAGGCAACCTTGTAGTTCTTCAAAGGTCCAGGTCACAAGCTGGTTGAGTTGAACCCTTCTGCAAAACAGTTCCACTTACACAAGAACTGGATAGACAAGGAATGGCTGTGTACAAGATAAAGACAAACCAAGTCCACCCAGTATTACTTCCAATCACCAGACTACAGTGCAATACTGAGTTGGTAACAAGTTGCAGAGTACTTAAAGTTGTATATAGTTCTTGAAGCTGTAGACCCACCTGCAGCTTGGATGAGATATACATGAGTTAATCCAAGCCATTGTTGTAGTTCTTGTCAGTGTAGACAAAGGCATCATCCTTTCATCCATTGGAATTCTAGGAAACTGCCAAATAAATCAACTACCATGAGTTACAGCACAGGGTCCTAAAGGAACCAGTCTTGCATACAAAGTGAGGTGGAACACACTACATCTGTCTTGTCACTGCTCTCAGAGTTGGTTGTTAGTTGAATAAACATCAAGTCTGGACCAGCGATGATCATAAGGCCGTTTCAGCCAACTTGTAGAATGGTTTAACGACAAAGAACAATACCACTACACATCTGCTAAGTGCTTCTTGTCTTTTGGATCCATAACAAAGTTACATGGAGCAAGACACCTCCGTAGACCCAGCCAGTCGAGGTTGGTACAGTCATCAGATAACTACAAGGATAAGTCAAACCATCTTCTTTGTAGTACCAATTAGTATTCATCATAGAACAGATCAACCATTACTGCTGACCTGGGCAAGAAGAGACATCTTCCATCTGGCCAAAACAAGTTGTTCAATGGACAAACTAGTGCATCTAGACAGTCTATCCATCTGTATAAAAACTGTAACACAGCTACCCTAGTAGACACAGTGGCACATCAAGCACAAAGTAGTACAGCATAGAGGTCCATACTTATCTATAAAGGATTAGTATGGAGATGAATCTAAAGGTGGTTGGAAACAAGCTTGCATTTGTTGGTAAACTTCTTAGACATCTTTAAGATGAGGATATCACTGTTATGATTGTCTATAGTGGCCATAGCATAACAGAAAGTATTCTACTGCCATCAAAGCACTGGTAAGTGTTGTTCCCACAAAGAGCTTGGCTTGGAATGCAACCTTCAATTGTTGTATTCGGCATTGTAGTTGATAAACTATTGGATTGTGGTTAGAACATCCATCTGTCCAGGTTGTAAACAGCAAACATCATAGCTAGTGCTGCATATTGACAGAATACTGCAGAAGAATTCAGAAACTCACTGGATCAACAAAATTCTTGGCCTGGAACCAAAAACTTTAAATGTTCTTCGCAGGCTTGCAAAAGACAGACTAGTGGTATCTTCAATGGATAGTACATCTATCTGTCTTAAGAGTATAACAGCATTGAACGTAGATACTGCTACAAAAGGAAGCACTACTAGTATAGTATGAGAGTATAGTAGTGCTAGATCCACCAAAATCTGTGTCCAAAAACGTAACCTTTAAATTCATCCAGGTTTTTAGTTGGCAGCACTGGTTGACAAGAATAGTCAGCTTTTCTCCCGGGTCTGTCTAAAGCTACCAAGAGCATACATCATGGATGTAGGTGTATTGGAACACTACAGTATGTAGTAAGGTAGTGCTGGATCCACAAAGTTCTTGACTTGGAGCATAACCTTTGTAGATCAAATTTGGCTTGTAGTTGAAACTCTAGTATCAACAGGATATACATCAGGCCCGCATGGTCATCGAAGTACTACTGCATGTGTCTACCAGTCAATGTTGGATCCATACAACACTTGGTCCAAGAACATTACTTTTCAGTAGTCTTAAGCCAAACTTGCAGTTGCTCAAGGGAAAAAACTATATCTTAAAACATGATAAGTTTATCCAATGGTTAAAACTTCCAGCCTTTTACTAGTTAAATAGTAGTATAAGTACTATGAACTAGTAATAATATAAAACCAAATGAAGTCTGGACTGGAGTGAAACCTAAAGCAAACCAGGCCCAAAAAGCCCGAGATTAATTCCACAAATAAAGTGACTTGTAGTTTCTCAATGGAAAAAACGATATCATAAAACATGATTAGTTTGTCCAATTGGTTAATTCTACCAGCCTGTTCTAGTTAAGTAGTAGTATACCAGGCCCGTAGCCAGGGGGGGTTCGGGGGGTTCGGGCGAACCCCCCCCCTGGCCAAAATTTCTTTCAAAATCATGCAGTTTTTCACCATTCTGACTACTTTTTAAGTGATTTTTGGCCATATTTGCCAAAGTGAACCCCCCCCTAGAATTTTTTAGAAAAACGAACCCCCCCTTGGAAAATTCTGGCTACGGGCCTGTATACGTACTATGAACATGAACTAGTAATAAAATAAGACCAAAAGGAGTCTGGAAGTGGAGTGATACCTGAAGGCAATCCAGGCCCAAAGACCACAAAGATGAATTCCACAATAAAAGTGACTCGCATTTTCTCAGGGGAAAATACTATATCAAAAGAAACATGGTCAGTTTATCCAAGTGGTTAAAACTACCATGCTTTTACTAGTTAAAAAGTAGTATTAGTACTATGAACATGAACTAGTAAAAATATAAGACCAAATGAAGTCTGGAACTGGAGTGAAACCTTAAGGCAATCCAGGCCCGAAAACCACAAAGGCAACTTTCACAATCGAAGGGATGTGTTTTCAATATTAGATGAAAACCACCTTGTTTGAAAATAATAACCAATCACGAATGAATAAGTAATATGGTTATGAATAAGAACGACAAAGAAAGAAAACAGGCTCCAGATAATAAAAATGAGAGCCCATCACTTAGAAGCATGTTCAAAACACAAGATTCATAGTATAAAGAACCTGAACCGATGCGTAGAATCCTCTCTTCTACTGTTGATTGAATAAAATAAAATTATATTTCAATCAATTGACTCATGATCTGATCAATTTAAGACAAGATTCAAACATGTGTGAAGGTACACCGCTTATAAAGAAACATATAGTTACTTAGAAAATATGCATGAAACCAATCAATACCAGAAAAGGAGTGATTGATAAGTAGCTGTTCAAAAGTATGAAGCATATTTTAAGGTGAGCCACTCCATAAAAAACTGTGGTTAGGGTAAAACTAACCAAAAGATTCTAAGACATAGAGTGGATCTGAGATATGTAGATAAACAATAATGTAGATCTCCATAAAGAGACACAAAAGTACAAACAAACAAAAACAAAAAACTTAGTAAAAATTATCCTTGTAAAATTAAAAATAATGAAACAAGATTTGAACACCAAGATATCCAAAATGATTGTAGAACAGACATCCTATGCCCTGGTATAAATAAAGAATGAATATGTTGTGACCAGAAGGCATTAATGAGCCATTAAATGTATCTTAAAGTAAGGCTTCTGTAAACTAACTAATTTTACACGAATGTAAAATTAGACCTAAAGTAAGTTGATGAATAAGAAATACAAAAGTAATTTGCTGAGTGTATCTGTAAGCAGAAAACAAACAGAACATAGAAAACAAGTGATGTGAAGAGTAGCAAGTGAATGAAACGTTCACATCTCTTAAAATGTCAAAAAACTAATATTTTAAATTAATTGACTGCTAAACCACACAATTCCATAAGGTGCTGGAACCAAGAACCCTACAAAAGGGTGTAAAGTGATTGTGAATAAAGATGAGAATTAACTACATCTAGGAACAATGCAGATTCAATCCAACTGAAAAATATGTTATCTAGTCAAGCTAGTTACTAAACTAGAAACAAAGTTAAGACTAATTCCCGACTAATAAAAAGTAAGAAAAAGAAACAAGAAAGATCAGCAAAAAGATCTTTCAATACAAGTAAAGTGTAATAAAAATTTACACTCATCAATCAGTAGAGTTCTTAGAAAAACTCCACCTATTCATAATCCCTGAACACAACATTTCAAAAAAAGAAAACACTGTTCAGTGGATAAGCACAGCTTGAATGTAATGATTACTGAGTGAAAAACTAAGGAATAGTCATTCAAAGCAATGAACTCCAACAAAGCTACTGTAGGTGCATGAATAAGGGGAATAACCTTATGAACCTAGAAGGTCATCATT